AAGACAGAAGATGAAGATTGATATTGCATTTAAATTTTTGAAGATCAAAGTTGACTGGAAACCAAGAGCTCAGAAGACAGTAACACAAGTGAGAAGAAGAAGAGAAGTAACCATTGAAAAAAAAAAACCCCCCAAAAAAAACAAGAAAACCCCCCAAAAATCCAGAAACCTTGAAACTTCATGCCCATACACAAAAAAAAAAAAAAAAGGGTATGTCAAAAGAATGGTTTTTCCATATTGACACCAATATCATTTTAATTACCTTCACTTCTCGGCAATCATTTTTAAAAGTGATGATTTGAATTGGAATAATACCTAAACATATAATAAAAGTGAATTTTTATATTTTTTTTGTTCTTACAAATTTACAACAAAAATATTAAACACTATTTATTTATTTGATTTTTTTATTTACACAAATAATCTTATATTTACAACATTCTTAAAATTAATACAATTAAAACTAAGGCAATGCAATATTCATCATTTACCAATTTATAAAGATATAAATATGAAAACAATTTTTTATTCATAAATTTATAGATATTTACTAAATTATTAAAATATGTGAAGCAATTGTAAGGAAATCCTTATTATTTATCATTTTATAAAGTTCAAATTGATTGGCAGTTAGACGATGTTTTGCCAACCATTCCAATAAATAATCTAATAAATAGTGTAAATAAACAAGCTAATAAATAAATAGTGTTTATTATTTTTGTTGTCAATTCTGAAGAACAAAGAAAATGTATAAATTTACTTTCATATATTTAGGTTTTGTTACAATTCTAATTATCACTTTTTTAATTGCCGAGGAGTGAAGGTAGTTAAAATAAGAGCAGTGTCAAAGGAAAACTGTACTTTTCACACCTCATTTTTTTTGTGGGCACAAAGTTCCAAGATTGCCAAAAAAAAAAAAAGAGAAAAAAGAAATTAGTTAAAATCTAATTTCTATAACAATACACTTGTGTACCAAGTACAAATGCCGGCATGACACCGAGTACTCTGCTTATATTGTAGAAATATTTTGAAAAAATAAGTGTCTTATTTTTTCAAAATATTTCTTGGAACTAATATAGGCACTTGTAGACTTGTATTTAAATTCTTGGTGGAATATTTGTTTGTTTAACGGCATATAAACACCTTATGGGTCATTTAATGTTGTAATTTAATTTGGATGGTGGGTGGCTTTGAAGTAATAAACATATATGTTATTCTGTTTACATTGTGCATGGAATATCTATTGGAATCGGTACACTTATTTTATAAGTTAAAAAATTCCCGCTGGAATGAATATCTTCGAAACGGCACATCTATTTGTTACAAAAGTGTGCTGTCAAATTAAAATTCAATCATTCAAAACACTCAAACCCACCCCATAAGCTCAGATTGAGGGATTGGAGAGTCAAGTTCGAATTCCAAACCAGTTCATCACATTCACTTAATACACTTAGGAAAGGTATGAATCCAATTCTCCCTCCATTAAATAGTAGGACAGACTTGGATGGCAACCTGTGTAGGAGAAGGAAAACTCTGAATTTGAAACTGTACGTAGCCCTGGTGAAGCATATACTATGCAACTAAGGAAAGGATCGTTTGCATTGATTTGATGATCCCAACTATTGACTTACAAATTAATACCCTTGGGAAAAGTAGGAATCCAACTCTTCTCCCCCCAGCTATGGATAAATATCAGGACAGACTGGGTTCTATAGCCTTGGGTGGCAATTGATCTAGGTGAAGGAAAAATCTGAATTCAAAACTATATGTAGCCCTGGTGAAGCACATTCTATGCAACTAAGGAAAGGATAGTTCGCATTGACTCAGTGATCTCAACTACAGTTGATTCTTTTTTATACATGGGGCAGGTTATGCATGGTTGAACATTGTGTGTTCATATTGTCTGGTATTCACATGTTCGCACATTGAGAGCACCTTCTCTTGATTGAGAGAAAACACCGGTTTTTTCACCCAGACTCACAGTAACTATTGACTAATACCTACCCAGTATTGTTCATATGCAAATAGTCAGCTTCAACTACTTTAAGCAGGTCTTCTCTCAACAGCCCATTGTAGAAGGGGACGCAACTCCTGCTGATTACAGCACCACATACAACCAACTCAGAGTTTTTATTGGGCTGACCAGTTTTTCTGTTACACATTGAAAGCCAAAATCAGGCTTGGGCGGGTTGAATGCTAAAGGGTCAAAGCAGTGGTTCCTAAATTTTATCACTCGTGTCAGAATTTTTGTTTGTTGTCATATTTCCACCTGCAGCAGATTGTTAACTTGCATGAGTTTTTTTAAAAAAGAATTTGGTCATTGTATCAGTTTCCTCATAATTTGTTCTCCTGGGATTCCATTAATTTGGAAAAAAAAAAAAAAAGGAAGTTATATGCATAATTTTGTACATTTCACCCTTTACCATTCAACATGGCCAAATGCACTCTGTAAACATCAGCTCTCAAAAACTGTGTGTGCAACTTCTTTCATTGTGATGATGTCATCATGTATTATGGCATATACATGGGGTGGATTATGGCGAGTTGAACATTCAGAGATGTTATTTAAGACGTGGGTTTGGACAGATTGAATGCTAAAGGGTTAATGTAAATCACATGTCGTCTTGCTAAAGCAAATTTTGTTCATTTTCTGATAAATGCAGATAAAGTGAAAAATCTGGTCTGGTACTCCTGCTATATTTAGAGATTCTTGATAAAATCCAAAGAAGAATCTATCTTCCATATTTATAAGTCTACCATTCATCCTTGCTTTGAATATTGCTGCCTCATCTGATCTGGTGCTCCTGCTATATTTAGAGATTCTTGATAAAATCCAAATCTGCAATGTTATTGGTCCAGACCTGGCATCTTGGCTTCAGTCTCTTCTCTACCATTGTAATGTAGCTTCCCTGTGCCTTTTCTATAAATAAATTAATGTTAATTGTTCTGAGGAATTTTCCTCTATGGTACCTAGACTTTATGAATTTAAGTGCAGTACTAGATTGGCAATTAGGTCTCATCATTTTACAGTTGAAATAGGTAGATGTAACCCTAAGTTCTAAGCTCACAGTTTTTTCTATCGTATTTCTCACTTATGGAAATTTCTTCTGGATTCTTGCTTCCCAGTTAACACTGATATCCCAAAATTTAAATGCAATATCGATCATTATCTTGTTTTCTTAATTCTTGTTCTTTTATTGTCCTTTCTCCTTAATAGTAGTTTTTCTCATATTCTCTAACACTCAGTAACCCTTTGCATCCTAGTGGCTTTATTGCCTTTGATCTTCAAAAATTTAAATGCAATGTCAATCATTATCTTCTATCATCTTAATTCTTGTTCTTTTATTGTCCTTTCTCCTTAATAGTAGTTTTTCTCATATTCTCTAACACTCAGTAACCTCTTGCATCCTAGTGGTTTTATTGCATTGCTTGGGGTGAAATGATTAAAAAAAATTTTTTTTTTAAAGTATCTACCAAGTTTCTGGGCAATAAACCATGTCACTTTTTAATCTACAAGTCTCCTTACCTGATAACAGCGGCTAACTGTTGATATTTCTAGTCCTTGATGTTGAAATGGGTAACTTTTAGGTATCCACACCTTCAGCAACATAAATTTGGCATTTACCTACATCCCCAATGTGACACAGGGTTGGTTTAACATGGGTTTAACATACATTAATGATGGCCATCCATATTTAGGGTAAAAATGGAGGTACTGCTAGAGTTGGAATTCCCGGGATTAGGCTTTCCTCATTACTCCTCTAAATCAGAAGTGGAAACAGATACTATGCTTTGATCACAACCTGGGTGGTGTTGGTACCATTTGTTTGGTATTTACCTACCTCCCCAAAATGGCAGGATGTAACACTTGGTTGGTTTAACATAAGGATGCCCATATGGGCAAAGAGATTGCTCAGATCCCATGACCACTGTCATAATGATACTGGTACCCATAACTTTCTCTCCTTAATTTAATGAGGGAGGTATTGCTGCAGGGTGAAATCACAAGGACTCGGCTTCTTTCATTGCAAAATGGCAAATTATCCAAAGGCAAAAATACAGCAGTGAGGAGAACATATAACGTTTTGATTCCAACCTAAAGGCTGAGGTTTGATAATTAATCATTAATCACGTCATCATAGTGGTAGGAGGTTAGGTAAGGTTGGTTTAATGTGGGGTGCATATATAAATATGTATAGCACAAGGGCAAAAACTACTGTCAGGCTGATGTAGATACCTACCAACCCTACCTCTTTAGTGCAATGAAGGAGGTGCCATAAGATTAGAATATACAGTAATAGGCTTACCTCATGGTTTAGAGAGAACATATGCTACCTAACAGACATGCCAAGCCACACCATCAGTGCAAATGCAGGCCTGGCTGACATGCCAAGCCACACCATCAATGCAGATACTGATCTGACTGACATGTCAGAGCCATATGCTGGCCAGGCTGACATGCCAAGCAACACCGTCAGTGCAAATGCAGATACCGATCTGACTGACATGTCAGAGCCATATGCTGGCCAGGCTGACATGCCAAGCCACACTGTCAGTGCAGATGCGGGCCTGGCCAACATGTCAAGTCACAGGTCAACGTTGATGTCAGTCTGACAAACCATACTTAACAAATATTAACATTTTAATTGATACAACAAAAATACTAAATGATTTGCTGATCATTTTATTGAGAAAAATGAAATAATTTTCCACAGGAAATGCATCTATAATTACTCGGGCTGCCTGCTGAGCAGCTGGTGAATGGGTAGACAGAATATCGTCTATAGGAGAGATAAGCTTCAGATAATGTTGAATAGCATCCACAACAGTGAATAGAGCTGAACTATGAATAGTTGAAGAGAAATGGCCAAGACAACAAGGAGAATTGAAAAATCAGCGGATCATGACAAAAATGAGATCGAGAGTTCGTTTATGGTCGTTTTGGTTTTTGAAGTCTTGTTTTCTGTAACATTCTCTATGGCTACGTGTGCGTGTTTGTCTTAAGCAGGTTTCTCTACAACTGGTTCTTCAGGATTTGTTTTTGGACGCTTCTTTTTCTTACCACCATCTTGATTCGGGTCAATTTTCTTTTTCTTGGTCTCTTCATCCTAGAGGGAAAGGAAAAAAAAAAAAAAAATTTAAATCACTAAAATCAGTAAAAGTCTGAGACTAGCTCGGTAGCCAATCAATCTTAGTAAAGCACAAAATATTTATTAAGCCAAGCCAAGCCAAGTATATCACAAGATTATAATGAGGCACTTAGTGAGGAGCAAAAACTCCTGTAGGAATGATCTTTGAGACTTATCATCCAAGCACTATTCCATTGCAATTGTGCTAAAACATAGATTTACCATAAATTACAAGGATAGCCCAGGTCGAATCAGGCCACCTTGTTAGTTTATAACTTTTTTTCCTCTTGATTGAATGCATTAATTTATTGGTTATCAATAATTTATTGAGGGTTATTTAAAAGAATTTTTTTTTTTTAAATCAAAAATTAAATATTGTAAAGACAACTGATTTATTATCTGAAATTTTTACTGTATAATATTCAATTTAAGTGATTAATATTAATTTTTCAAATTAAATGCCTTGACAAGGAAGGAATTCAAATTGAAAAATAAATATTTGCTGTGTAGAAAAGAAATGCTTTTTTCATCATTATGCTACAGACTTCTTGATGCATCTACATATGTCCATCGTTAGCATATTTTTCACACACAACAGGCAAAAAGTTTAGGGACACCCTGCATCTTGTTAAAAAAATAAATAAATAAAAATAAGAAATACTTTAAAATGAGATATTTTTGTATTTTTTTTAAAGTAAAAGATAAAATTTATTTGCTTTTATTTTTCCGTCTTTATCTTACTAACCAAAAAGTTCAAATTTGGATTTGTCTTTGTGGCGTTTTTATTGATGTAAACAAAATATGATGTTGTTGCATGATAACTTTTTATAGTCTAGTGCATATTTTTTGTCAAAAAGGAAATAGTTTGCAGTTTCTGAAATTTGAGCTTTTATTTAAAAAAAAAAAAAATTATAAAAACATTTGATTTAAAGTTGTTTTTTGCTCAGTGTATATATAAAAAAAAAAAAAAAAAAAAAAAAAAGATACTGGCATCAATGAAAAGTGCAAATAAGAAATATAAACGGTCAATTGCTGATACCCCTGTTGAGTGGGTATAGTGATTGCTGAAGAGCCTGTCTATGAAACTCTGGAGTCAAGATGCTGTGACAAACTTTACATTTGGATATATATATATATATATATATATATATATATATATATATATATAAATGAAGAAAACATTTAAATTAAAAGTTCTCAATGTTCCCTCTCCTTCATATGCATGTGTAGCTGCATTAACATAAATATCAATTTAGTCGCACAAAAACTTTCTCACACACTTTTTCCTCTAAAATGGTTCTTGATATATAAAAATATATATATATATATATATATATATATATATAACAAAAACAAAATCAAAATTTAACTTGTCACATGTTTTGTCCTGCAGGACTTCATCGGTCTAAATTTATGTTGGGAGGACTACATATATGCGCAACAGAAGGGTGCTGGGAATTTTAGAATCATTTTTTTTTTATCAGCCAAATTCATTTAGAGTCTTTTCTTTCCATCACTTTTGTAAGAGCATTAAGAATATGCAGCTCAGATTATTTACATGAAGGAGGAGAAATACATTGGAAATGATTCTCCAGTACCCTAATTATTTTATATTCAATGTGAAAAAAAATGCCCATAAAATTTAAAAAAAAACAAACAAAAAAACGAAGCCACTCATGAGAATCCCAATGAATCAAAAAAATATATCATTCTGCCTATTAATTTTATCATCACATCTACAAGTGAAAAGAACCTATTTAAACTCAACATAAAAGTTGTTACTACAACATCCAAAAAATTAAAAGACTTAGTCAATACTAAACAAAACAAGCTAAAACCTGAAAGAGGAGTTTACTCTATCGCTGTAATATTTGTCACAAAAAATACATAGGAGAAACCTCAAGGAATCTAAACAAAAGATTATATGAACATAAATAATACATTAAATGTGTTGGTTTACAACTGTAATAAGACTGACTACAACTTTGACATAAAAAATATTACTCTGATCAAAGGAGAAATAATTCAGTATGACATAAATGTCTAGAGAGTGCCTTAATTGCAAGGTCATCTACAATAAATTTGTGCCCTGCCTCTTACAACATTTCACCATTCCTGGCAGATCTAATATGACAGTGTGGAATACCTACTTATAAAAGTGATGGAAAAAAAAAGAGAGGCTTCAAATGAATTCAGCTGATTGGAAAAAAAAAAAAAAAAAATGTAAAATTCCCAGCATCCCTCCGTCATGCACATGTGTAGTCTTACCAACATAAATTTAGTCTGATGAAGTCCTGAAGGAAGAAATGCATGACAAGTAAACTTTTCCACTTTGCCATACAATTTCTCCAATACTGTTCTTTATATATATATATATATATATATAAAAAAAAAAAATCAACCTAACACCAATAACTAGCGCATAAATTAATAATTAATTTTTAACTTTAAATTAAATAATGAAAATGAGAAAATCTGCAGTCAATTGCTGATATTTCCTGATTAGCAGACAGAATAATTATGAAAAGTTTTGTCTACGATACTCCAGAGTCGAGATACTGAATATCAGCTATGTGACAAATTTTATTTGTATTGATTTTTTTATATATATATATATATATTTATTTACCTTTAACACTCTGTAGCATTCACAAGTATTAATTGCCCTTTGACTGTATATAATAGTCTCTCAATTTCAGTGTCCTAGTGCTTCATTTTAGTTAAGATTGTTTTTACTGTTGCCATAGCAGTGCTTGAAATCACAACTATGAAATTCAAACATTATTTTTCAGTGATCAGAGATGCTTGCAGTGGTAAAAGAAATGTATTGCTTGGTAATTGAAATTGAGTACTAAAGTCAAAAAACTTAAAATCTTCTATAGAAAATAAAATAAAAATAAGTAAAATGTCATCAAAGTTGTTGATTTTACCTTTTCATTGCTTTCTATTCTTCGTGATGGACGCAACATCTTCACCTCTGTTTGCACCATCAGCTGCGTACTAACAAATTGCTAAAAGAGAGAAAAGAAGAAAAAGTATTTAACCAATAAAATGTCTTAGAAGGTAGTAAATTCTTTAACTCTTCACGGAAATCAAAGAATCAAAAGACGCAGAAAGAGTCATAGAAATATTGTCTGCATACAACAGAGTCACTCAAAAAATTTTTCACCAGCTGGTCAGCTCTGATGGCTCAATCCCCATTTACTTTGGTGTGAGCAAAAATAGGAAAGACACATAGTATGCTCGACAAGAAAATACTAACAATGTGATCAGTGATGTGGTTACTTTCTTTTATTTTGGTTACTCGGCTGCATCAAGGGGTTGGACTGTAGATTCTAAGGTCATAATATTAACTTATTAACTGCAGCTGAAGTTTCGGTCAAATCTATACTGTTAAGCATTGTATTTTGTTGATTATCTGTCTATATTTCTGAGATGAGGTATTATGTACATTATTTATGTCTGCCTTCTTCAGGTGGTTGGAATGTCGAACTGAACCCTTTATTTCACTCACTGGGGTAGACTGTTCTAGTTCCGTGTGCCATGTTTAATGGATGTCAGTTATCAGTTAACTCCTGTTAATTTTCCCTCTGAAAGTTCTCCACTGCCTTGACCGGGTATTGAACTCACACTCTTTGGGTCCTGTCACTAGATCTAACCAACGGCTTTATCTACTGTGCCATGTGTCCTTGTAATAAATATGGTGACAAAGATGAGGACAATGTAAAATAATGTATTTTGTTGATGTTATAAAGATTATCATTTCATTTCCAAACTCCGTTTTGGTTATTTCTCATTCAGTAACCTTTTCTAGGTTACAATATAAACAAAACGTGGAAATGCTCAACAAAGAAACTGAAGGTAAGATGTCACATTGAACGAAAAGTCTTGCAAACAGCCATGTTGAGATAAGACAAGAAAATCTGTTGGTTCTGATAAACATGGCTCTTGATTCTGGGATCAATTCACCTGTCATTATGTGGGTGTAGGTGAGTGACACTTGAGACATCTTTGTTGCTACTTCTGTCTTCTCCTATAACAAACCAGATCTTCATCCGACTCTGCATCTCTTTTTACTCTAGTCATTTCTCTTTATTCTTACCATGACCGACTCTTCTCTTATATAGAATACAGCCTTAATATATAAGCCCATAACTGGAATTCTTTACCTTCGGGCTGAGTGGCACTTCATCCTGAAAGTTTTTATTTATTTATTTATTTTTTTTTCCTTACTTGTTGAGAGTGAGTGGTTGGTTTAAAACTCTCACATCTCTGTTTTACAGTTGGTAGTCAAAACTTGCCAGTGACTCCAGGCCCAGATAGAATGATTTACCATTCACTTGACTACGTGGGTGCCCTAACCAATTATGTGCCCCAATATCTAATTTATCTAGTATCTAATTTGAACAATCACTAGTGAGAAAGCTTAGTACTTAGTAATGAGAGAGTTTCAAGTAAAAAAGTTTTGATATTGACTGCTGTCTGCAGCAGCACAATGTATGAAGATCTGGTCAAATAAGTGTATATATAAAAAAAAAACACAAAAAAATCCAAAAAACAAATAAAATTATTAACTGAAATAAATCAAGTTTCTGCCTTGAAGGAAGAAAAATATATAAATAAATAAATTGATAAAATATATAAATTGATAAAATAAATAAATTGATAAAATATATAAATTGATAAAATATATAAATTGATAAAATATATAAATAAATAAATAGATAGATAAAAATATATAAATAAATTGATAAAATACATAAATAAATAAATTGAAAAAAAATATATAAATAAATAAATAAATTGATATAAAAATATATAAATAAATAAATTGATATAAAAATATATAAATAAACTGATAAAAAATACCTTGACTGTGTAGATTGCAAAGATGTGTAAACATCTTACCTCAATGTGTTGCATGACGTCATCGTACATCTCTCGAGCCATTGAGTAAACATTGTGATCTGAACTGTTGTACATAATGGCATTAGTAAACATAAGCATCATATCTCGTTGGAATTCTGTGGTTGATCGGATCACACCCATTTCAATATTCTTCTTTATGGCACTCAGATCCATTGGTCTGTGATAATACATGGAACAGAAGAGAAAGATAAAGGAATTTTGATTGATTTGTTTTTTACAGTTTATCAACATTTTGGCAGGTTATTTAAAGCCAGAAATTTTTTTTTTTTTAGCCTGTAAGAATTTTGGAAATTAATAATGATTTACTGATACAAATTCTACTAATTAGACCATAGCTTGGGGGGGAGAAAAGGTGGATTCATAACTTTTCTAAGGGTATCTGTGCATAAGTGAATATAAGAAACCCAACTGGAATTGGAACTCAGCTCTCCATTTTCTAATTCCAAAATGTTACACATTACACCACCTGTCCATCCAAGCTTGCAGCACATGTTATTCCTAAGCGGTTACTCAACTAGGTACTGACCAGGTTCAACGTTGCTTAACTTTGGTGACTGTAGAAGAACCGGTGATATGACCGTAAGACAAAGAAGAATTTGCTGGTTACATGGAGTCATTTGTGAAAAAAAAATGCCTGCTTTAGGGGTTCATTGTGCATGTGTGTAAGAGATGTTTTGTTTAGGGCCTCAGGAGTATGTAATAAAATGCTTACTTTTGGGACTCAGGAGTCTGTGTGTAAAAAATGTTTACTTTGGGGACTGAGGGGTGAGTAAGTAAAAAATCCTTACTTTAGGGCTGAAGGTAGTGTGTGTATGTAAACTTTGGGGACTCATGGGTGTGTATGTAATAAAAAGATTAATTTTTGGAGCGTAGGAGTGTGTGTGTGTTATAAAATGCTTATTTAGGTGCCCAGGTGTGTGTAAGTAATAGATGCTCCATTTATTTATTAAACAGTATATTTATTTATTTTTGTCTACTGACTTGAATATTTCAGAAATCTTATTAAAGAAAATTATGCAATCTCTGGTAGGATTCAAATCTGCATCCACTTTTGTAGGAGAAATATATGGTTTAATAGATAAAGAAATATACGGTTTAATAGGTATAGAAATATACGGTTTAATAGATAAAGAAATATACGGTTTAATAGATAAAGAAATATACGGTTTAACAAGTAAAGAAATATACGGTTTAATAAAAAAATATACGGTTTAATAGATAAAGAAATATACAGTTTAATAAAAAAAATATACGGTTTAATAGATAAAGAAATATACAGTTTAATAAAAAAAAAATATACGGTTTAATAGATAAAGAAATATACAGTTTAATAGATAAAGAAATATACAGTTTAATGGATAAAGAAATATACGGTTTAATAAATAGTGTGTCTACTCAAATATGAGTATCCACTAAAATAACTTTTAAAGGATAAAATTTGTCAGATTAATACATAAAAAAAATCCATTATTTCTTTAGAAACAAATTGAATAAAAAATCTAATCCAATAACAAAATTTTGAATTGTATTTGTCAGTAAATTCAGATTATGGAATGCCAAATTTTATCAATGTTACTTTATACACATCATCATCAAAACAAAATATTTTGTCACGATTGTTCAAATATTTTAACAATCTGCTATTGTCATAACAAAGACACTGCCACCTGGTATCCCCAGTGCAATCAAGATAATACTGCAAATAGACACAATAGATATATAAATAAACTTGGGCACTTCGACGTGGGGTAATAGTTAGCAAGCTTGTCTCATTAGATCAATTAAGACTGTGTAGTGAGTTTGATCTTCAGTGGGTGCTCCACACTTTTGGCCTTGTGCCATATCTAAACTACACTTAGAAGAAAATCTCCATATATAAATAAACTGATAAACAGAACTGTTCTTTTACTGTCACAGATTTTATTAATTTTATATCAACTTCTTATGTGGTTTGCACAAAACCACTAATTTTAAGTCATGGGTCATTTTTGCGTTCAGTCAGATCAATAAAATAGTGGAGGAAAGAATTTGTTTCAAAAAGACCAACCAATTTTTTTGCTTCTGGATGGAAATTGCGTAAAATTCACCAAACATTTTAGATCACTAAGCCCAATGTTAGCATCCTACCAGTTCACACAAACTGATTTTTAAAATTATAAAAGCTGAGTGAGCCGGTTGTTGGATCATCTGAAAATAATCTTATATATTAACAGTCGATATATAATAGCTAAAAATATAATTAATACCATTTCTGTAAGTTCTGTGGAGGCTGAAAGAGGGTTTTCTGTGAAGAACATAATTTATTTGGACAAAAGAAATCATCTCCAAGTTAAAAATGTGGCAAATTTGACAGATCTTCCATTGGATCTTTGGGACTGCAGCGATTCAGTTGTAATGTGACTAAGAAACCATAACACAACTGATGAAAACTAGTGTCGAAAAGCATCATAATTCTGAAAAGAAATATGATGTGAACAGAATTTCAATCTGGAAATATCTTAATAAATAAATATTTTCTATTAAATTATCAAAATGGTTTAATTCTTTTTGATACTATAAAGTGATTTGTTTCCATTCTCAGATTGAAAAGAAAATAAGCAGAATAGGTTCCTAAAAATTACCTGCCTTTATAGAACCGGTTCTTGGAAATTTGGGATGCCTATACAGCACAGTCCCCTTGTGGTAGCAGAGAGAAAAATGCTTAAAAGAAAGCATTTAGCAGAGAAGTGTAAAAAAATAATAATGTACAAACAGATTGGTTAGTGGCAGGTGAGTGTAAACATACACCTTGATCCTCACCCAAGTTTTCCACCAATTCAATAATTACTGATCTTGTCGGTGTGCACCAGAAGCTGGGAAAGGAGCCAGGTGTATCCTCACAAGGTAACAAGATGAAAGATAAATGTCACATTGAGAAATGATAACATAAACGTCTTTCACATAATATAAAATAAGTATTTTTATTCAGGTGTCGCTTGTTTTTTGTCTGTGTGGGTAGGTAGATGATATTTAGCTCTACCCACCTATCAACTCCACTCCTGGCTTATCTACACATCCCAACATGCGGATGGTAACATAAATGGATAGCATCAGAATCATGTAACAGAAAAGGCAGACTAGAACTGACTCTCTGGCCCTAAGCATGACCAGCACTTGGATACAACCTCTTTTTGGCTTGTTGTCACTTGATCTTAAAAAAAAAAAAACTTCATTCACTTCCCCATTTGGAACCACTTGCTGACTATAAAACAGAAACACTTGCAATCGAGATAAAACCCATATCTTCCTTTTCTATGAGGGTGTCTATAGTATCACAGTAGGTAGTGGTTAATGATCCAGTGGAATATAACAAAATGGAAGGGAGAGTACTGTTATTTACCTGTGTACAATACTGTGATAACCAGGAGCAATTTCTTCTTTCACTGGATGCAGGAAAACATTCGCATATCTGAAAAGAGAATACATATTTTTACTTACAACTAGCACTGCTTGTTGGGAGATTGTATCAAGTAGTGTTGCAGGGGACATAATCAGATATATCGTTGATTCACATCAAAAACAAAAGAAACTATAAATTTCTATGTGGTGAAAAAGTTATCCGCCTGACCAAGAATCCCTTAAAATTTTGATATTTGGACAGATTTTGTGAATATAGTGATTTTTTGCTAATTTTCTGTACTGTGTATTTTTAGTAGTAAATCTGACCTATATTAGTTGTAGCATTTAGAATACGAAATATATATATACAAATATAACTATCATGGAACAGAGATAATATATTTTATAAATAATATAGATACAATATATGCCAAATAAAAATTGGGGCAAAAAGTGGCACTATTATAATTTTTGCAAACCCCAAGATGCATATAGCCATAAACACACTGAGCAACTGGGTGGGCCTGGATGCAAAGTGGAAATTGATGAAGCTTTGTTTGCACACAGGAAAAAAATATATGATGGATGATTATTTGCTATCATTTTTGGCTTCAAATTGCCATCAACTTTTGATAGAAGACTGAAAAACATGCGAGAATGGGCAGTACAATTACAATTGAGAAGTCAAGAGCTCTGATCATCACCCAAGCTGTCTTCTCCCAGATTCCTTTGTGTGTCCATAGTTTCCATAGAGAAATATATATATATATATATATATATGATGGATGATTACTCTACAGAGTTTAATGTGGAGTCAAACATTTAAAAACTAAAAATGTTTTCATTTTTGGCATCAAACTGCCATGGATTTATATCCTGTTTAATATTGTTGGTTCTTGAATCTGTATTAAATTGAAAACACCTTTATTGATGCCGATTTTCCTTGATTGAAAACATAATTGTTTCCATATGCTCAATTTAAATGTCATGATGCAAATTTTTAGGCATGGGAAATTAAATATAAGGTGTTTAATATTTTTTGTTTTTTTGTTTAATGTTTTGTAAATTTATAGTGTTTTTAAGTTGTGGGGGTACAAAAGTATAACAGTATTAAGCAGGACCGGATTTAGGCCTGAAGAGTCCCCTCTGCTAATCGAATTTGGAGGCCCCCTCCTCATTATGTATGTTTGCTGCCTGTGTTTTTAAAAAAAAGAAAAAAAGAGTTACTATTTTTTAGATGATGTTTTTTTTGGTATAAAACATGAAATACTTTGACTAAAATTTTTAATAAATATGTATATAAAAAGATGCATTAAAATCTAAATTGCCCCCTTTTAAGGGTCCCCATTGAATTTAAAAGACCTGCTCTAGCTAGAGGGGCCCAAATACTCTAAATTGTTTCAAATTAGTTCAAAGGAGCCCAATACTAGAGATCACTTGAGGGCTCCTCTACTATGGAGGCCCATAGGCTGCAGTCCATATTAACCCATATGTAAATCCGGCAATGGTGTCAAGTCTGTTAGTCTATCATTTAAAAGCAAAAGTGACGACAAAGAATAATAAAATATAAGACTTACTTGTGAGTGGCAGCTGCTCTGTAGACCAACATAATAGACTTTTTCCAAGTTCTGTAGGCCTTCTCATCTTCTGTGTCACTGCTGGGAGAAGGAAAGTTTTCAGAGCAAGGAAAATTACAGAGAAAAAAAAAAATGTGGAGGTGTTAATTTTTAAATTTATTAAAAAAAAAAAAAACAACCAAAAGGCATGAGAAAATTGCTTAGGAGACTAAATAATTTTTGCATACGACAAATCAAACTAGATTCTTTGGGCCTGGGTTGAGATGCTCTTTTAAAAAGATTTGGAATAATCATTAATATTTTTCAGAACAAGAGAAACCAAGTAATCAAAAAACTGTTACCATAAATAAAATAATACCATCTGAATTATTTTAAAATTATTATTAAGAGAAATGCTCCTAAGACAGGGATTTGTCTAGAAAGAAGGGAAAATAAAAGTATTTAACGTTGCCTACCAATTCCTCATAAATAATAACTATTCCATTTTGATTCTGTAGAAAAACAAGACATAAATGAAAGAAAGCAGGGAAGATAGAAATGTTTAAAGTCTGTTTCAACAAAATAGAAAAAGTTGTCAATTTTAAATCTTTTCATTTGTACCCTCTTACTTCTTAAAATAATGACCAGTATTTGTATCTATGATTGTTATTGTAATATTCTGTTAAAGTTGTTAAGCTCAAATATTTAACGATGTGACAGGGCAATTTCTACAGATATTTTACTGTCATAGAACTCACCATGAGCTTATTCAATCATTAACTTAAGAATTAAGATTCATCAGAAAATTCAAATAGGAGAACCACAAAATTTTCAAAGGTCTTTCTAGTAATAATAATGATAATAAAAATAATATTTATTGTATATTATTATGCCTTTAGACCAAATAGTAGCATGATGAGAAAATGTTATTGCCCTCATTTTTGTTGTGTTGTAACCTACAAAGGGTTACTGAATGAGGAATAACCAAAATGAATGTTGGAAATGAAATGGTAATTTTTATAACATCAACAAAATACAATACTCGCCAGCGGCATGAAGTAGGTAAACCACTGCTAGTGGTGGACTACTTAGACAGCATATTACCCCCACTTACAATAGTGTCCAATGTATTTATGAGGATTGGGACATAACCATTAGTGTTCAGAGGTACGATATATAATATGTTGTTATCACAATATTTCGGCCATTGTGTCCTCCGGCCTTCCTCAGACACAGATCAGAATTCTGAATTAAACTTTTTATTTAAACTATGGGGGATTAGACTGCTCTCCTTCCACTGCCCATGTTTAGGGATAACTTGTCTAGTTCTTATATTTAGTATTGCTCAGTTATTGCTTGCTCTGTTTCCACCGAGTCTAGGTACACACTGCCTGGCAAAGGGATTGAACTTACAATTACTATGTCACCAAATTCATAGACTAATGCTTTAATCCATGAGGCTATTGTCGTGTAGTTCAGTTCAGATTTTTCCCTGTAGGTTACACACACACACACATTATTGGCTCTTGTCATTGATGACTATGGCTGTAACACCGATTACTACTGGTCTGTAAAGGTAAGATTTTTTTTTATGGGAGAGTGGTTTATCCAAATGCTTACTCACTTTCTTCACCAACAATTATTGTGCAATGCAAATTATGAAACACTTTATCAAGATTACTGGAAATGGGACATAGGGGAAGTGGTTTCATGCCTTTCCCAGTACAATTTCAGGTAAAACCTTAATCACAATTTCTATTTAAATTCCATTTCATATGTTGGTAACCATTACACTTCCACACTAAAAAAAAAAACAAAAAAAACAAAAAAACTTTGCTTTGACCTGAGGCAACTTCCTTGTCTCTCACACTCTCCTCCATCTCTCTCTCTCACACACACACACACACACACACACATTTCTTCTTTCCAAAATGAAATAGAGAGGAAAAAGTATGTGTATATATAAGAGAGTGTGTGTGTGTGTGTGTGTGTGTGTGTGTGGGGGGTTATTCAAGTAAAGCCACTCCAGCCTTTTGTTGAAGAATAAAAAGAACAAGGATGATGATGGTAGCCTCCACCGACCATAAAAACATTTTTACTCACTAATGGGATAAAGATGCCGGACTGTTAGGGATGGAATCAGAGAGGACAGCTGAGAGGCCAGACTGAGCCAACATATTCACTGTATTGGCAGGGTCATCACTTTCCCGAGCAGAATCGTCTTCGGTCAATTCCGCTTCACTGTGTTTCGAACTACCACCATCTTCTTTCTTGTCATCCTCCTGAACAAGAAAAAGAAAGAAAAGTACATTTAAAACACTAGGGAAAGAAAAAGAATTCAAACTAATATCGTCATCTTTTTTATTAGGAAGTGAGAAAAGTGAAGTAATATTATAAAATGCATTGCAGGAAAAAAAAAATTAACACTACTACAAAGAAAGGAGTAATTAGGTTGGGAGGCCTACTACCCAAATCCAAGATGGTGGCATATATTAAAAAAAGAGAATACAGGTTTGATCCCTGTTTAGAGCAGGGTGAGATTATCCTTTAGGCTAGTATAGGCTGCAGCTTTGGGTCTCTAAAGCTTTTATAAAGCAATGATTTTAATTTTCTAGAAGTTATAAATTCTAAATAGTTTCATAAAATGAAATGATATCAATATGACAAACTCATATCTTGATTATTTTATTGTTATAATGCTGGTTATAAAAAAATCTGTTTTTTATTTTTAGTTATGGTTGTATTGAAATATGTGCCAATTTGGTTTGCAATAGTAAAAAATATTGGTATTTCTTAAAGAATATTTTTATTGACAAACAAAGGATAGCTATTCTAGTTTATTTAAAGAATACTCCAAAATATGTAAATGTGTTGGTAAAGAAAAGAAAAAGCAAAAGAAAACAAATAATGAGTGTCAATTTCCGGCAGGAATAAGTCTGCAACAGATTTGTTTCTCAACCGCAACACTTGTAGCCAAAATCCAGTTCAACGATTGTCTGACGTAACAATCCAACAGGCCACCTAGAGACGGCAAAATTGGGTCACACACCCAGCCTTCACTTCTTGCCAACAAGAACGCCTCTGTCTCTCCCAAAAGACGGCTCGCTTTATACAGCCGGGGATCGACTATAATTTACATACGAATTACTAGCCAACGAGATTTCGCGTTAGTCGCCCGAGACCACCTGTCATAAAACATGGATGCCGCCATTTTGATTTTTTTTTCAGCCGGACTTTACATGACGCACAGATTCGTGGATGTTTCCAATGTAGGCCATTCTTTTCTTTCCTTGTCCGTCCAGCATTTCATTTAGCCAGGGACTGTTGCTACATTTGCGTAAGCATCCACTATTCTGCTTACATATTACACATGCCACTCGTTGCCTCTTAGAATGGCAAACTGTAGTCAGTTCAGCAGGACCCAAAGACTGCTGCCTTTCAGTTCAGCTACAGTAAATGTTGATAAAATATATCATGAGTAAAAAATATTCAAGATGGATGCAGGTGAGCTAGAGAGTGGCTCCCTCTGAGTCAGGTAGGGGGCATAATATCATTAACGTAGGAGCTCCAAAAGATCATAATCCAGCTCTCGTTAAGAGGCATATTTTACTTTAGTAAGACTTTCAATCTCTAGCTCATTAGATATTAAGCTTTTTCCCTAAGTTAAAAATTGACTTGGCAATAACTTGTCAAACATTGATTTTACCCTTCTGGTAAACATCAAATTCTGTCAACCACATGTCTGATGGTGTGTTGGGGTTTGGTGTTAACTGGTACATTCTCAAAAAATTATGAAGTGCCTCCTCATTTAATTTGTCCAGACTTGCTTTTTTCAATAGTCTTTTGAACATTCCCACAAACTGTTTGATTGTCCATTAGAGCTGGGGTGATATGGTGGGGTTGTAATATGTTCTATAGAGAATGACTTACAAAAGTCTTGAAATTCTTTTCCAGTGAATTGCGTTCCATTATCTGACACATTGATATCTGGTAACCATATCTCGTAAACGGTCCATACAAAAAATTCACTGTCACTGAGAATGTAGGATTTTTGCACTTGTAAACTTTCAGCCATTTTGTAAAACTATCAACTACCACTAGATAATATGCTCCATTCATAGGACCTGCAAAATCTATATGTAATCTTGACAAAAGAGTGTCTGTCTTTGGCCAAGGTTCTATTTTTGTGATAGGTAGTTTTTTTTTTTATATCTTGGTCCATTCCAGTCCAATATACAAAACTTCTCATGAGAGATTTCATTCTTGAAATAATATAATGTCTGGAATGAAAATCCTTTAACATATGTTTCTGTAAAAGACTTGGTATTCCAATTCTTTGTCTGTACATTAAACACCATTGTGTATTGAATATGCATTCAATTCTTGATTCTGTACTTTTTTAGTTTCTTTTAATTGCTTCTTTATTTTAGTAATAAAGCCGTCCTTTTCTGCTTTTTCAATTTAATTTAATGTAACTAGTAATTCCTATACTACATTGTGCAGAATTTTTTTTAATTTCCATCTCGCTTTTTAGTGCTGCTATGACAGTGTCATCTAATGCTTCTGCATTTTTAGATATTAACCTAGATAACCCATTCACATATCCTAATTCTTTAGACAGTTGATATGCCATCATAAAATTATAATTTAACAGGATAGTACACCAATGCTGTAGTCTGTTAGCTGTATGGGTAGGTATACCTTTCTTTGAACCATATATTGCTAATAACAGTTTATGGTCTGTTTGTAACATGAAATTTCTTCCATGAATAATTTCATGGAATATTTTCATAGGGAATAGGATTGCTAAAGCTTCTTTCTCTATCTGGTTGTAATTCCTCTCTGCCAGTAGAAGTGTGAAGCATGAGTGAAAGCTTCATTTCACCACCATTGTATTTGTGTAAAATCATTGCTCCAACACTGTAATCACTAGCATCTGATGTTATTATAATTTTTGCTTTTGGATTGTAGTGTGCTAACGATAAATCCGACGTAAGACTTTTTTTAATCTCGTCAAACACTTTTTGATATTTATGATCCTAATTCTACTTTACTCCTTTTTTCAGTAGATTGTTAAGTGCAGCTCTCAAATTATGTACAGGGTGTCCATAAAGTCCGTGTTCACTTTAAAAAATTTATAAACTTTATTTCTATTTGTGATAGAAATAATTCGTAAAAAAAGGATTAGAAATAAGTAAATCTATATTTTTTAAGGTTTTATTGAAATTTTATTTAAGTTTCCACATGTCTTCCATCATTAGCAATACAAAGGGTAATACGATTTTGCAGTTCACGGAAAACATTTGCCAACTGATTTACAGTAATGCCTGAAATCACATTAGTTATTTTAGCTATAATTAAAACTAGGTACATTAAACTTTATAACATTTTTTACAGATTATTTCTATCGCAAATACAAATAAAATTATAAATTTTTTAAAGTGCACACGAACTTTAAGGACACCCTATATATTAAGTACATAAATTCAATAATAATTAAGCAAGTCCTAAAAAAAGCTTGTAACATAGTTATGTTGGATGGTGTAGGCATATTTCTAATTGTATTTGCCCTTGATGGGTCTGGTTTCCTACCATTTTTTATCGATAATTTGTCCCAGATATTTTTGGTAAAAACAATTAACATTTTTCTTCACTAAGCTTGAATCAGTATTATCTTAGTTTTTGCATAAATGTTTTGTCATGCCCAACATGTTCTCCTTTTGACACACTTTTGATCAGAATGTTGTCTGGATATGACACTGAAATTGCAATCTGCCAGTATGTTATCCATGGCTTGCTGAAAAATAGTTGGTGCCACCTTTACACCAAAAGGAAGTCGATTAAACTTATATATAAAACTCTGTGCGTATTTATGGTCATTAAATAAGAAAATTGATCTTCCATCTGAATTTGTAAATATGCTTCAGAGAAATCTAGCTTTGAAAAAATTTCTTCTGGACTTGGTAATGGGTAATTGTGTGTTTCGAGACGACTATTTAATGTAGTCGAGAAACCTGCTCAAAAATGAATTTTGTATTCTTTTTTCTTTACGTACACTGCTGGTACAGTAGGGCAGGTCAATTTTGGAACCGTGGTAATGCGATGGTTATGATAGCTGGGATTTGACGTGATAAATAATGACACTTTTTTCTTTCGCAAATCATTATCATTAGGTGAGCAAATGACTTTAAAGGTTGAAAATTAGAACTTTGGCATTTTCTTTTGGTGATCAAAGATTTACTGCCATTAAAAATTTCCATACCATTGGGGAAAGAAAAATGTGTAAATGTCATTTAATAATAAAAAAAAATTGTCAATTAAAATATTTTCATTGATCTCAAGAAATCGCATAAATGATATAAGGATAATAAATAAGGAGAAAAAAAATTCACTTGTAAAGGTGAAATGGAGATTAAATATACCGTATTTTATGTAAATGACTGGAATAAAAGATATCTTCTTTTTTCTCTATCATGGAATTCAGGATTTGTTATTTTTCAGGAGAAAAAAAAAAAAAAACTAATTTTAATTATCAATAAAACACCATAAAACTAAGAAATTTATTCATTTTAATGATAAAATATTATAGTTTGTTTTTAATTGTAAAAATGATTAGTATTTTTATTTTATTTTTATATAACAGACTTAATTATTTGAAAAAGAAAGAAGCTTGTTTAATCTACATGATTTTATATATTTAATTGACTGGTGTTAAATCAAACGTGTTTGTTTTTCTGCTGAAGAAATGATATTTCCATTTTTAGGTAAGTAATACTGTTTCCTTCTTTCTATTTTTTTTTTCTTGCTTCAAATTAAATTTTATCTGATGACTTTGCTTTAAAGTGCCATACAAAAAATTGCCAAACAAGGCATATAGTCTGCACTTGTCTTCCTAACAAGAAGGTAATATTAATTCTATGGTTGTTTTTTGTTTGCTTTGTTTAATTTGAACTAATTCTTGTCCTGATTTTCAAAATTTAAAAGTATAAATTTTATTCTGATAATCTTCCTTTTTCTGGTAAATAATATTGTGATATTTTCCTTAATATTTGTCATGTATGCTAGATCTGTTATTAAATGCATGCACATTTTGAAATTGCAGGTTCCCATTGAAGAGAGGGAATATTTAAAAGATCAGAGAGAGAGAGAGAAAACAGGACCAAAAGGCAGTTTGCAACTTGGACCTATCGACAAAGATGCTATCAAAAAAAATTGTTGAAAGAGAGAGATTAGGCAGGCAGATTGAAAGACAGCAACAAGATTCTTCACATTTTGCTTCCTCTACATACAATATTATTTCACAGACATCTTCCACACACTCAGTAACCCCTGCGTTTTAGTGGTTTTATCACCTTGCTTGAGGTGAAAGTTTAAAAACAAATAAAAATAATATAATTAGTATCAATACTATTTGAATTTTCTTTTTATCAAGAGTTATTTAGACTTGAAGGCAAACTTCAAAATTCAAATTGGCGTTTTCACATCTTTGGTAACTTTGTAAATATCTCTTATCAATCTACCCTAAATTTCCTTTTCCTATACTAACTCACAAAAGTGCTGCAGGTCTTCCAAGTTCTTCAATTTTTTATGGGGAATGATGGCATTTTATTGTTAGTTCTTTTAATGTCATAGTTCAGTGTGTATACTAAGACTGTTTGCTCAATGCCTATGGATGTTATTTTTCCATTTGGTATTGATGACAAAACCATTTCTATATTTACTACTTGTTTCCAAAACTATTAACTTGCGGTGTCTAAATTGGGTATTAAAATCAAGTCTTTTTTTTGTTTTTTCTTTTTACTCGTGTCCTTTTAACATTTCTTCTTCTGTGGGTACTATGCATGATGCATACTTGGGTGATCATGTATCTTTTCAATTTATGATTGACATATTCATATAAGATTCTACTGGGCATAAAATGGGGGATCGGTTTCATATTGTCATTAAGTACTAAACTGACCCCCCCCCCCAATTTTTTTACTACATATAAATATCCTTCCCTAGGTTCCAAGTGTGATGCGCTCTTGGGCTATCATGTTTCTTTTCAAATCAGGATTGACATATTCATATAAGATTCTAATGGAAAGTGGGGGATCGATTTCCTATTGTCATTAAGTACTAAACTAATACCCCACCCCCAGAATTACTACATATTAATATCCTTCCCTAGGTTTCATGCATGATGCACTCTTGGGTGATCATGTCTCTTTTCAATTCATAATCGACTTAGAAGAATTCCTGCAAAGGGCTGCCATTACATTCTGCAGTGACCCAGTCTGTTCAGGTATTTAACCCATAGCTTGGAAGTGAGAAGTTGGATTCATAACTTTCCAAAAGTGTATTTATGTGTAAGTGAATGTAACGAACTTGACAGGAATTTGAACTCAGTTCACTGATTTCTCATTTAGAGCCATTATCCATCACACCACCTGCATCTCTGCTAACATTAAATGTCCCAATGGTCAAATCTATATGCAAATGGAAGCATTTATAAACACAAAATTAGTAAGTTTCCAATTTTTAATGGTTTGACAACTGGAGAAGTCATGACTTTCTCCATCAGTATTTTCTTTTTACTAGACAATAATTTACTGTATCTGTGTATAAAATACACCCCTGCTAAAAAAAAAAAAAAAAAAAAATATTTGAGGTAGTTAAATTTAACCTTTGTTCAACTTTTGTATCAATTAAAATAAAAATTTATATAGTCTGCAGTATGTTTTGAAACAAAATATTCAAACAGTATTTAAAGCAAAAGGACAGACATGTTAACACAAAAATAAACTCACACGAGAACTTTAGCATCAACAAGACATTTAAGCTGTTCTTTCATAATAAGTGCAATCAATGGAGGTCAGAGGAGCACAAATCACTCTCTCTAACGGTTGCATTTGCTGATGAGACTTTTCTGTTATACAGTGCTGCACAAATGTGAATCCCTCAGTTAATATTAAAAAAATCCCTATTTTTTTTCCCAGATAACACATCTTAAACTATATATTAATTAAAAAAAAACCTTCATTAAACGAATTACAACCACTTACAAAATTTCTCAAGCTGGAATAAAGATATTAATTAAAAATTAAGATGTGTGCAAAAGTAAGTGAACCCTTATATTTAATATCTGGTGACTCCTCTTTTTGAGATCACAGCATTGACCAGTTTTTTTCTATAATTTTTAAGAAGCTCCTGGTAGTAGTGAGTGTCAATTTTAGACCATTCTTCTTGGCAAAACTCTCACAATTGCTCAATATTACCTGGGTTACTTGCATGTACTTTAACATGAACCACACATTTTAAATTGGGTTTAGGACTCTGATTAGGTCATTTCAAGACTTGAAATTCCTTTTTTTGAACCAATTCTTTTGTGAATTTGCTTTGATGGTTTGGATCATTGTCCTGATGGAAGATCCAACTCTGATCCAAACCTAACTTTCAATCCGAGGAGAAGGCACTTCTGTTAAACATTGCTTGGTATCTTGCAAGGTCTATTGTGTCATCAATGCATACCATTTTGCATGTTCCAGTTGCAGCAAAGCACTCCTAAATCAAAATGCTGTCACTGCCATGTTTAAGTATTGGCACCAAATTCTTCTCTTCAAAAGCTGTATTAGAAGCTCGCAGATATACCTCCTCTTGTTCCTACTAAAAAGTTTGAGCTTGATCTCATCTGACCATAAACCTTTTGCCAGAATATTTCTAGCTTATTAATATGAGTTTTGGTTTGTTTGTGCTTTTTTGTAAGCAGCTCCTTTTTTCTAGGCATTCTACCATGAAAACCGGCGTCGTTCAGATTTCATTGTACTGATTCCAACATTCATCAGGGAGCCTTGGAGAACCACAGAGGTCACAGCCATGGTTTGCTGAACTAGATGTCTGTAACGAAGAAAACGGCAACTTACCTCGCCAAACCAAGCGACAGCGTGTCGCGTGTATCCTGACAGAAAATGTGGCAAAAAAGAAAATTACTTACCCCCCACCCCCCAAAAAAGGGCATGTATTCCGCATGACATGCTGAAGACAGAATATTTAAATTAAAAAAACAAGTCCCTCGCTATAAAAGTATTTTGATATGCAAAAATTGAGCGTCCTCTCCCAGCTGTCGAGGAATGGAAAAAATGCTCGGCCGATAAAAGCAGTTGATGTTCTTAAATCTGGGAATTTGGGTATTTTGACTACCGTGTTTGTTGGAGAGCGAGTTATTTTTCTGACTGGTTGCATGCATTGTGCTTTGTGAGATAGTACCTGCGAATCAAGTTTTCAGCATTTCTTTCTGTCTCCAATGTTTGAGTCTGAACTTAGTGATTTATTCTGTGTTGTGGAAGTAATCTGTGACAAATATTTCATTTGCAATCCCAGATTGCTTACAATGTCTATTTGCTCTTGCAGTTACTTTTTGTGGACAGACACTTCTTGATTGTGATGCCATCATACCAAAGGCCTTCCATTTATAAATAATTTGTCACATGTTGGAGATATGTCCTCCAAATCATTTTGATAGCTTTTTGTAATCTTCATCATTATAGGTATCTCCTATGCAATTTTTTAAAGCTTCAGGAAGTTCTTTTGATCTTAGTATATTTTGTTTTTAAATTTAATCTCTGTCCTCTTTTGCCTACACAATGAGTTATATTGGTTGACTTCAGTATACCAAAAAAAAAAAATGAATGTCATTTTGATTTTTACATGTGCACAAAAAATTATTTGTACTGGCAACCACCATGTAAAACAAAAATACAGAGTGTAAATGTAAGGGTTCACTTACTTTTGCACATCTTAATCTTTAATTAACATTTTTATTCCAGCATGATAAAAATTTTTTGTAAGTGGTTATAATTCATTTAATGAAGGTTTTTCTTAATGAATATATAGTTTAATTAAGATTTGTTGATTATCTAGAAAAAAAGAGACAAATATTTTAATATTATCTTAGGGGTTCACTTTTGTACAGTACTGCATGACATGGATATTGGAAGCTTGGCAGATCCTCCCTGAAAGCCTCTTGGCAAAATTATTTTAAAAAATGCTGCATCATGAACGCAATAGTTAGCAAAAAAAAATGACATCCTTTTTGAGGAAGGACAAGATGACTGGATTATGATGACATTCCAGATGACCAAGACATCTATTACACTGACAACATTGATAAAACTATTATGACATTGATATTTGACATAGATGGCAGTGAAGTAGACTAAAATATGTTTAATACCTATGTGAATAATTTTTTTTAAAAAGTAGTTTGGTTTGAGGTTTAAACTCTTTACTAGACATAAGTTTGAGCCATATAATATAACTTAATTTTGGTTGTAATGTTCTGACATGGCAACACATGTGGCTAAGAAAAAAGTTAATATTTAATTCTTGTATGCACAATTCTAATTTTTTGGCTTAAAAATCTGGAGAAAAAGTGGAGTGTATACATGAATAATCATGGCAAATGGTTACAGTGAAAGATTTACATCAGCTGTACAATTTGGTTATTGAAAATAGGGTTTCCAAATCTGAGAGAAAGTCTTATTCAACTTACAATAATTTGTCTTTTGACTGATCGTCTATTTATTCCACCTTTCTTTCTACCTAGAAATAAAAAAAAAAATAAAAAAAAAAATTTTGTTTATTGAACATTGTTAAAAACAAAACTGAAAAAAAGTACTTTTGGCACAGCATTGAACAAAGTGCAATTGACCAATCAGATTGTGCAGTAAGATAAAACTAACCAATAGAAAAGCAGAATTCATTTCAACACATTAAAAAAAAAAAAAAAAAAAAAAAATGGAATCCTGTTTAAGGTAAAAAAATTCTAATTAAGGGAAATTTGAATAAAAAAACAAAAAAAAAAAAACACCTTTGTCTTCAATTTCTGTGGTCATCATAATATTAAAACTTGTGTGGTTGTCAGGAAAAAGTTGGAATTAAATTTTGTTTTTTGCTATTTAAAAATAAGCTAAAAATAACATCAGTAGGCTAACTGGATTGTTATGATGTGGGGGGGGGCATCAATAAGTCCTTGTCCTAACCAAAGAGCTTAAAAAAAAATTATTAGCCAGAGTGAGTAGAAAATTTTCAGCATCTACCTTGTAAGTCAAATCAAATAAAGGAGTTATGAATTAATGAAAAGTAGATCTGATGGCTTAAAAAGTAAAAAGAGGCCAAATGTGTTTTTTTTTTTTGTTTTTTACTATGACATTAACCCTGTAAAAGGGCCCAAGAACCACTCCAGGTAAAAGGTTACATAATGCTGCCAAAATGCAAGGGGCTACCAGAAGTGAAAGAGAAGACGAAGACTTTAGAAGGAACCTGAAACCTGATCTTAAACAGGAAACAAGGGATAAATCTGTAATCCTGTTCAAATGACTGGGGAGGAGTGTGAACAGGATGATAGGCAAACCTATATACTCCTATTGAGCAAAAAAGTAAATAAATAGTAAATAAAATTTCTGAATTTTAGGTGCAGACATTAGAAGAAACAGGAAAAATTTTCATTCCTTTCTTCAATATAGCTGTTTATAAAAATGTTATTCAACCAAATTGTATGGAAATAGAACAGTTTAGTTTATGCTCTGAGTCCGAGCTAAGAATCGATTCACTTTGAGCATGGTAATAATGCCACTAAGACACAAGTGAAAGAGAGTGAAAAGACTTTAGAAGAAACTTGAAACTCAATCCTAAATAGGAAACAAGGTATAAATCTCTACTCCTGTTAAAAAGAGCTGGGAGGAGTGTTAACTGGACAATTGGCAAACCAATCTACTCTGATTGATAAGGAAGAAAAATTAGTAAATAAAATTTCACAGTTCAGGAGGCATCGTTAGATGGATAGAGTTAAAGTAGATTTTAGAAGGAAACAAAAACTCAATCCTAAGCAGGAAACAAGGGATAAACCTCTACTCCTGTTAAAAATGATAAAGAGGGAGTATGAACCAGAAGATAGGTGAACCTATCTACTCCTATTGAATAGAAAAAAATAAAATAATTAGTAAATAAAATTTCAGAGTTCAGGCGGAGTCATTAGAAGTATTGAGTTGAAGTAGACTGTAGAAGGAACCAGAAACAAAGGATAAACCTCTACATTTGTTCAAAACAATATATATCTGTGTGTGTGTGTGTGTGTGTGTGTGTATATATATATATATATATATATATATATATACACACACATACATACATATATATAAGATAATCCTAAGGAGCCAGGCAAAACTACCTAGGTTTCACCCAAATGGATCGTCAGGATAGTGTGTGTGTGTGTAGATGGATGTGTGTTTATATGTTAAATTGTGTGTATATGACTAGTATGTATAGATGTATGAATGCGTGTGTATGTGTATACACGTGTATGTACAGTCAACGATGAACTTATTCGTACATCCATCAATTTTGAATATTTTTATCCATTTTTCAGAATCTAATGCCAGTATGATGCTAGGTTTTTTATGTTAATAAGCAAAAAAAAAAAAAAAGGATAGAAAACTCAATTTTCAGAACAACAGCTTAAATACAACAAATTTGACAAGTGAATTATGCAAAATAGGAGAAGACAAAATTATTCGTACATATGATATTGAGCACTTTAACCCATAAATATAGCATACCTTAATATAATAATAATTACCGTGTATGTGTGATTAAATATGGAACAAATAGGAAAATATTTATAAATTTAACATGTTTCACTTTTATTTTAGCCCTTTTTCCCCAAAACCCAAAATATGTCTTAAAAAGCATCATTAGATTGAAACTTCCATGTGGATGTCAGTGAATGATGCCAAACTCATTAAGAAATATCTAAACTGTCATCTGTGTACAACCACTTCTTCAAAGAGATGATTAAAAATGGTTTCGAGCAAATGAAGTAAGGACCATCCGTCTTCAAGCCCCATGGACTGGCGCTACAGAATCATAAAGAATTGTACCAAATAACAGAAACCACATCACTTGATTGAGTGATTAGTTTTTTTTTATGGCTTATCAACCTTTTGCTGAAAGCATTTTTAGATTGTAAGATTTTCTTTTTCTTTTTTTGAGATAATAATGATTTACTGATAAAAGTCCTGCTAATTAAATGATAGCAGGGAGGGAGAAGGTGAATTCATACCTTTCCCCAAGGATATTTGCACATAAGTGAATATAACAAACCTGACAGGAATTCGAACTCAGCTCTCCAATTTCCAATTCTGAGTTGTTATCCATTATACCACCCACATATCCAAGCTTACAGCACCTGGTATTTAGAAGCTGTCACCCACCCAGATACTGGCCAGGCTCAACGTTACTTAACTTTAGTGATCGTCACATCATTTGCAGACATTCAGCAACAACATGGATATCACATGTAACTTGAAGAGAAAATAATGACATAATCAAATTGTTGACATTCCACACCACTTGAAACATAAGGTTAGGAAGGAAACTCCCATCAATACTGTGATAACAGTGGATTTGAGAAACCTATTTTCATGAAAAATTGGTTTAATAAAAGAGTTTATAAATTTCAATTGAATGTAGCACTGGCTGCTTGGCCAATGAACGCTGAATGCTTCCATATAAGGAAACAGCTAATATTACCATTAGAGATAAGAAGAACAGATACTACAATTTGATCCCAGCCCAATGACCAGGAAGTGAAGAAACGCATTACTTGAGTAGCACAGGCTGCTCGGTCAATGAATGCTGAATGTTTCCTTATAAGGAAACATTGAATATTGTCATAACCATTACATTTAGCTTAATATTTACCTCTGCCACGTCCCCTTGGACGTCCTGCACTGGATGTTGGCTCACTCAGCTTTGAAGAGACACTGCTTGACGGTGAAGATGGCTCATCTTTTATGGATATTGAGATTTCCTCATCCACACTGATGAATTTGTTTCCCAAAGTAGCTGGAGAATCCACTCCTTCAGCTTCAGTTGCTAAAGTTTCATCTAGGCTGTCCTTACTAGTTTCCTGAACAGAAAAGTAACATTAACAAAAACAAAACAAAAAAAATATATTAATTTTACGTAATTTAAAAAATAACAAAAAAAAAAAAAAACTATCCTAAAATTGTAAAAAATTTCTAAATTAAAAAAAAAATAAATGGAAAGGTAAATTAAAAAAAAATTGAAAAGATAAATTAATAAAAATGAACATAATTAAAAAATAAAAATGAATATGTTAACTATAAAAAAGTTAAAATTGTAAATTAAAAAAAAAAAAATTTATGAATGTAAATTATAAAAAAAAACAAACAAACAAAAAGGTAAATTTAAAAAATTCAAAACTAAATTTTAAAATTATAAACATTTTTGGAAATTTCTTTATTTTGTAATTGTTACTTATATTAAGATAGGTACCTTCATGAGATTGCTAAAAAAAAGAGCGCAGCATGAGGCAAAAGATGCTAAACTTGACAAAAACAAAATTTTATCATCTAAATGTTTATGTCAGTATTAAGAGGAAAGATCAAAGTATTTTTTTTTTTTTTTTTTTTTTTACATTTTTTAATCGTTCCTAGCATGTCTGAAATTTTCGTTAAAAATCTTGTTTTTTTTTTTTTGAGTCAGCAAAATTGACATCAATTGACAACAAAAATCAATCATGTCAACCATTTTTTTCCATTTGTATATATATATATATATATATATATATATATATATATATATATATATATATAAATGAAAATCTCAGTTTCAAATTCTTTTTAAAAATCAGTCATTTTTTCAGAACTTATTTTAAGAAAATTAGAAATTATAATATTTATTTAAAATATTTTAAAACAAACCTTACATAGTTTCTGCACTGAAAAGATGTAGGTCATAACAAAACAAAGCAGGTCATAACATTTCACATCCCTTGACAGGTGATGAGTGATGATTTCATCACATATAGACAGCTTATTTGAGGAAAAGTTATCGTATGGAAGGACAGAAGTGACATAATTATTTACATTTAAGTGAACCAACTTATTTACCTTGTTATTTTTAAGGAAGACTTTCAGTGCTCTATTTTTTTTGTATTTAGCTTTTACCTTTACATTTACGATGCTTTATGGAAAATATATTATAAAAAAAATTAAAATAAGACTGTTAAGAGGGAGATTAAATTTCATAAGAAAGGTATCTAATTAATTTATAGGTACCTTTCTTATGAAATTTTATCAGAAGTGTACATAAAATACTATAATTTTATGTATATCTATTACATTTTACTGTGTTATTTGTATTTCCATTCATTAAATTATTAATTTTGATATTTCATTTATGGAAAAATGTCATAACTGAGATAGTATTAAAATAAGATTATATAAATTTCATAAGATAGGTACCTAATACTTGTAGGTACCCTTCTCAGTTGAAATTGAAAAATCAAATTAACTTCTCCACACATTTTGCAAAAATAAAGGCCCTAACAGCGGAGAACAATGCTTCAAGTGACTTTTTATTGTATTCTTGCTGGTCTTCCATACATTTCAATTACAGCCATTTTATGGACACAAAAGCCATCTGGAATTAATTTTTTTATACCATTCGGGTCTTCTGATTGTTATAAGCTATACAACTTATAATGCAAAAAGATAAAATTTAATAACACCATTGACTAAACTGAATGCTGTTTTCACTAATTTTAGAATTAGTAACAACTTTAATGTAAAAATAATAAAATAATTTAAGAAATAAATAATTGTTTTAAAAATTCATTTTTCATCAAAAAAGTTTTTTGTTTTCAGACAATATTATCCATATTCATAAAAGCAACTAAGAGCATTTGAAATTAAATAATATCTTTGTTTCATTGAATTTTGCATGTTACAATTCAGAACTGATTTTCAGGTAGAGGGGGTCCAATTAAAAAAAAAAACAACAAAATACACAATTTGCTTCATCAAAGCCTTGTGCTTTTAACTAATATAATCACTAAACTGAATGATATTGAATTTCTAGAGTTCTCATAAAAATTAGTTGGGGGGGTAAATATATATAAAAAATTTTTTGGCATGACTTTAAAAAAAGTAAACATATAATAATTTCCATCATTTATGAATAGTTTCTGAAAGTTTCATTAACATCCGGCAATTATTTTTATTTTTGCAAGATTTTCCAAATTAATGTGTCAAAAAAAAAAAAAAAAAAAACAACCATGCTAAACATGTTATTTAGTAGTTCTGGTGATAAAAAGAGAAACAAGGTTTTTTTTTTAATCAAAACTTAGAATGTTCTAAAAAGAAGGAAAATTTTTTTTTTTAAATAATTTAAAAAATACTTTGTTCTCTCCTCTTAATGATAAACATTTAGACGATAAAATTTTGTTTTCATCAAGTTTGGCGTCTTTTTCATCATGCTATGCTCTATTTTAGCGATCTCATGGAGTTACCTATATTAAGAGTTTTTAAGTTAGAAGAATTAGAATCAGTTCATTAAAAGCTTCATTTAAAAAGATCAAACTTTGCACTTTGCTGAGAAGAATAGAAAATAAAATTCAGTGCATAATGCAGAAAGATCCTATTTATTTGCACACACATCTTCAAGAAAAATTAAATTCTATGAACTGAATCATCTAACTTCATTTCAAAATAACTTCAGTGTAATTTAATTTCTTGTAGTTTTTAAAATTGAAAATTCATACAGATTCAACATTCAGCGGCCTTTTGCTTTCCTTCTGTTCATTGTTTCTATATTCTTTTATCAACAAAATGTTCTTTATTGATTTCTTATTTGTCCACCACAATAATGTTACATGTCTCATGTTTGGAGAGGAGATAGTTCTGGGGTTTTTGTTTTTTTTAAATTATTTTTCAGATGATTCATCTTTGCTATTTTCTTTTTTCTTTTTTTTTGTTTTAAAAACAAAAACTTTAGATACAGTCAAATAGTATTGGACACAAAAATTTTTTTAAAGAAAAAATAATTTCTCATTTTTAGTATTTTTTTTCAGGTTCAAATCAATTTTTAGGCTTTTAGCCACATTAATTGTTTCTTTTTCATGTTCAAATCAATTTTTATGTTTGCAACCACATTAAAAAAATTATTTTTCATAAAATCTTACAAATTTTCATGCATCCAATACTTTTATGTATAACTGCATATTCTCTGGACACTTTATAGCTTAGCGTTAAAAATTCTTTCGGTTTCTCATTTCTAATTCAATTCAAACCAAATCACAGTACTGTGTGATACGGTTCAGTGCTAACTTGAAGAAAGATAAGGAATTAAAATTTTTTCTTTTAAAATACTTTTGGAATGTTTATCAGGGTTGCTCATCTTCTGAGTAGAAGTTCAGTGACTTAAAAGTTTTCACATTGGAAACCCGACTAAACCTTGGGCAACCAATTTGTCTACTTAAAAACACATGAGAGCAAGTGACAATGGTATATTAGAAGAAAAACTGGTTTAATGTCTTTTCACGTGTATGCATAAAATCAGTCGCTTTGAAATGCCAAGTCCCGAGTAGAATCATTGAAGCGAAACTATTTTCTAAGATAATTATTGTATTTGAAATTCTATGGCTATGAGGAGAGAGGAAAAATAAACAACAAAACACACAGACATACACACAAAGAAATACATACAAAAATGATCTATTTACTTAATAAAGATTTTCTTACATCTGTTTTTGGCTGAATTAGTGGTGGCGCCGTAACAGCTGAAGATTCTGAAATGTTAACAGTTTGAGAGGTTGAGGTTTCAAGATATGCTGCTGCAGCACAAGCCTCGTCCAATTCAGTTTTAGGGGAGAGTAATGGTGCCTGTTGCTGTGTTTCTTCATCTTGTTCTACTTTGGAGGAAATTGAAGCGGCAACTGAAGCGAGTTTCTCATCGTCCACTTCAAGCAGGTCTTTGGCCTGGGAACCCATTGACGAGGTGTCTTCATCTTGAATATTACTCAAGGGAGTTGGCTTTTCTTCCACACATTCTGTAAGGATTAAAAAAAAAAAAAAAAAAAAAAAAAAAACATGTAAAAATCAGGCAAACTATTGATAAATTTAGAGAAGCTGTTTCCTCACTGTACTAACTTCATACCAGTGAGAGAGAGAGAAAGAGGAGAGAGAGAGAAAGAGGAGAGAGAGAGAGAGAGAGAGAGAGAAAGAAGAGGAGAGAGAGAGAGAGAAAGAAGAGGAGAGAGAGAGAGAGAGAGAAAGAAGAGGAGAGAGAGAGAGAGAGAAAGAAGAGGAGAGAGAGAGAGAGAGAGAAAGAAGAGGGAGAGAGAGAGAGAGAAAGAAGAGGAGAGAGAGAGAGAGAGAAAGAAGAGGAGAGAGAGAGAGAGAGAAAGAAGAGAGAGAGAGAGAGGAGAGAGAGAGAGAGGAGAGAGAGAGAGAGAAAGAAATAGCTAGAGAGAGAGAGTGAGAAAGATATGAATAGAGAGAGTGAGAGAGAGGAAAAGATAGAGAGAAAGAGATAAGGCAGATTTTCAAGTAAAAAAAGGTTTGACGCCAGTATTTAAGTCAAAATGGACTGTATTATTTGCAGCATTAGAACAAGTTAACAAAGAGTTAGACAGACTTGAAGTAGTGAAAAAAATTAACCATTCAAAATGGGCTTCATCAGTGGTGTATGTAAAGAAAAGAAATAATAAAATTTGTGTATTGTGTGGATTTCTCAACGAGATTAAACAGTTGTTTAGAAACACATAACTACCTATTGCCAAGTCTAGTAGAAATTTTTTCCAAGAGGAATGTTGGAAGAATATTTTCAAAGCTGGATCTCTCCGAAGCATATTTACAAATTCAGATCGAAAATGAATGCTCTGAATTAATGACCATAAATACGCACAGAGGATTATATAAGTTTAACCGACTTACTTTTGGCATAAAGGTGGCACCAGCTATTTTTCAACAAGCCATGGATACCAAGCTTGTGGATTGCAACTTCGCAGTGGTATATCTAGACAACATTTTGATCAAAAGTGTAGTGAAAGAACAACATGTTGGGGATGTGAAAACAATTTTGGAAAAACTAAGAGAATATGGATTCAAACTTAGTGAAGAAAAATCTGAGTTACTTTTGCCGAAAATTAAATACTTTGTCAAATTCTTGATAAAAATGGTAGGCAACCAGATTCATTGAGGGCAAATGCCATTAAAAATATGCTTACGCCAACAAATGTGACTACATTACAAGCTTTTTTAGGACTGGCTAATTACTATCAAATTTATGTTAATTTATGTTATGCATAAGTTAAGGGCTCCACTGAATGATCTTAAAAAAAGAGTGAAGTGGAATTGGAATGATAAATGTCAAAAGTTGTTTGACAAAATAAAATAAAATAAAAAAAAACAAAAAACACATCAGATTTATCATTAGCACACTATGATCCAAAAGCAGAAATTGTAGTGGCATCAGATGCTAGTGAGTACAGTATTGGAGTGGTGATTTTACACAAAAGAATGGCGGTAAAATGAAAGCCTTTGCTCATGCTTCACAATCACTTCTACCAGCAGAGAAAAATTACAGCCAGATAGACAAAGAGGCTCTAGCAATTATATTTGTGGTGAAGAAATTTCATAAATTTATTCAAGGAAGAAGTTTTATGCTACAAACAGACCACTGACCTTTATTATTAACGATATATGGTTCAAACAAAGAAAGGTATACTTATGCATATTGCTAATAGACTACAATGCTGGGACGCCATCCTGTTAAACTATGATTTTACAATGGAGTACCAGGGTTACAAACTCGTATCCATACAACTGAATATGTTAGCTCTATCACTGATATTGAGTGCTTTCCAATAAGTACAACACACACATATATATAAGTAACTACACTCATCTCAGAAAACCTTTGGTTTCTTGATTTGCTAATGGTCAAATCAATCTCGAAGGAAAAAAAAGGTTTTAAAAAAAGAAAGTTATGAACATGAACGTCCGTCGAAAATAATCGTACAGCATACAGGTCCAAAGCCCAAAGAAAAAAACCCCGATACAAGTAATCAACTAACTTAAAAGTGCTCAATACAAAAGTAGAGCAGACCTAGTCAAACCTAGTGAGCCAGACAAACCTACCAAGGTTTCACCTAAATGGATCGTCAGGGAAAGCTGGCTAAAGAGGTAAAGAAAACTGTATACTTATAGGTGATAAACAAAAGACCAAGACCATGTGACCAAACATTAAAAAAAACAAACAAAAAAAACCCACAACACAACAATTGGGAAGGTGGGGGAGAAATTTATTCAAAACGGCTTAAAAGGGAGGGGTGATTTAGAGACAAACACAGGCAAAAATGGTTAAACAACTATATAACCAGGGGAGACGGGGCCTAATCCAATAACCAAGATCTTCTATGTCTGTTTTTGTTTTAGAATTTAATAAATCTTTAGGTTCCTTATATAAAGCTATGGCTAATTTTTCCTCTGTACATAGCTTACAGAATTGTTGACCTGCTATATATTTAGAACATCTTTTTAATATTTCCCATTTGAGGATTGAGTCTTTGTTATTTTCCTGTTTAATTTTCCATACATAGCTAGATAAAGTAGTACTATGTTTGTTTTTTTCATTGTTAAAACTACTCGTATGATTATAATATCTTTTTTTTAAATACGTCCTGAGTAGCTCCCATATACACTTTAGGGTTTCTATCATTATTGCAGTCATCTATGTCCTTGTAAATTTTAGCCTGGTACACCACGCACTCCTGTTGACATTTTCCCTGTAGGGGACAGATTTTTTTGTTCCTACAATTACAACTAGAAGTAGTGGCGCGTGGATTTTCCCTAGTCTTTTACCTTATTAAAACCGCTAATTAAAGTCGCTATGTTTGGCATACAGCAGTAACTAAGTTTGATGCTATTTTTATTAAATATTTTATGTGACTTAGTTTTCTTGGGGAAATTTTGTTCCAATAGATTGAAAAATATTTTGCCAATTTTAGTTCTTCTTACAGGTAAGTTAAACGGAGAGTTAAACCACAAAATATTTCTATTTCTATTTTTATGTCTATTTTGTGTTTCAGTGTTATTATTTATGTCAATATATTCTAACTTATGTTTGTGACCACTTTTAACTAGAGCTTGCTCATAAATTGATTTATTAGCATCGAAGATGTCTTTATTCGATGAGTTGGTAGAAAGTCTATGGCTGATACTTTTTGAAATATGTCTTATGATATGCGCTGGGTGGTTAGATTTTACATTTAAATATCGGGGTTCGTGGTTATCTTTCTTAGAAGAGGAAACAGTACCATTTCTTAAATCTAAAGTGATGTCTAGGTAGTTAGTGACTTTAAGGTTGGTTTCAATTTCAAGATTAAATCCAAATTTTTTGAAAAGCCTGGGATTACTTTTATCCACTATGATTAATCCGCCATCACGGTAGAACCCATGGTTGTTAAAATCTATATGATCGTTAAGCCTATTGAGTAGCAGGCATCCTACTAAGTCGCATACCACTGCTCCATCATATGCTCCCATGGGATTGTCAAAACTATTTACGTCGTCTTTTTTTATCCATAGTTCATTATTATGGAATAATAATGTTTTCCGGCAGTGTTTAATCAGGTCTATTTTGTCATCAGAAATCTGAATATACTCTTTGGCTAATTGGAGAGCTTCTTTAAGAGATTTTTCTGTGATTGACGGGTAGTATTCTTTAATGTCGTATCTAATAAATGAACATCTAACATCTTTATTATAGTTCTTAAACCACCTAATACAATCATTAGATTGGTTTATATTAAGGAAAGTCCTTAAAGACTCACATATTTCTTGTAAAATGACCTTATTTTACCTAATTCTGTTTTTGTGGGGTTTATTAGCCGACATTCAGGGCTGCTAAAGAAATTACTCTTATGATCCTTTACAGTAAATAATTCAATTTTCTTTTCCTCTTTAGCCAGCTTCCCCTTGATATTAAATATGTGTGTGTATATATATATATATATATATATATATATATATATAAATGAATTTAATTTTTGATTTAATGTATTTTTACTACTTTAAACACTATTTTTAGTGGATACCTATATTTGAGTCAAGGCATTGCTTTATTTTAAACAATATTTAGTGCCAGAGGGAACATTTTTTTTTTAAATAAGTTTGATTGAGCATTCAAGCTGGATCCACTCAAATATAAGTATCCACTAAAAATAATGTGTGAATATATATATATATATATATATATATAGTTAAGGTAACAACAAAGGTTGGTATATAATCCAAATGGATCCTAGTAATATAAAATATTAAAATTGATCCACAAAAAGAGCTCAATGTATGAATTTGAATTTGTTTTTATGTCAACATTTTAGCACTAATTCATTCCTGATTCAACTAAAATGTCGACATAAAAACTAATTCAAATTTCTATAATATAGGTTGAACTTAATTAGCTACCATATTTCCATAATATTCACTCCCCTCTAACTCTTCAAATATCAACAGTATAACTAATTCTAATTTCTATATTTAATTACCCCCACTCTATAACCTCTTCACACTATATTATTATTTACAAACTTTCCATTAATCCCTTACATCCTTTTATTTATATATTTTAAATTTATTTTTAGACCCCTTTTTATTCCTCTTAATTTTAAATTAAAATTTCATTCTTCACATAACACCAAATTAATGTCAAAGTTAATATTTGGGTTTAATTTTATAAAACTTCTTCCTTTTAAGACAAATACCTCCCACCATGTCTCGTGCCTTTCGTCTGAATGAAACATTGAAATAGATAAATTCTGTATTAATTTTTCAACAGGTTGGTCTTTTCACTGTTAAATTCTACTTTCTGCCCCTCCTGACTGTATAGACAAGAAACCCAGCCCACACCAGTGTTCATAAGACAGATGACCAATATCTTAATCTGCTGAAATAGACTATGCCCCATATGAGGTAAATTTGGATTTTATTGTTTATTTTATATATATTTTTATTCATTGAAAGTATTTTAGTTTTGTTTATTTTTCTTTGCTTCTGTATTTTGGTGTTAGGATTAAAATTTATTATTATGGGATTTTAATTTAGTCTTTTTTCAGTGTTAATTCCTATGTCCATGCTGCCTATATCAATAAATGGTCTATATCTCATATTAAGTACTCTTCCCCTATAAACATAGCAAATTTTAAACCACACACACACATGGTGCCCAATCCTGATCTTCTCGCAAAATGCAACATTGGTGGAATTCGCAACTGTTTAAAACCCTTGTTTTTGTCATATATAAAAATCCAACATGGCACATAAACGAAATATTCAGCAAAAAATCCCATTTGTCAGTAACATTTTAAACAACCCATAGAATGTAAAGTTCTTAAAGCAAACCTGTACCAAACCGTTTTCCTGAATCTTCGATGACTTGGCTGTCCAAAAATGACAACATCAAGATGAAATAATGGAAACTGACCGTGAAAAACATAATTATGCGCAACAAGTTTTGATCAATCAGTAAACTTCTGGACCTTTTCGGGCGATGCAATAGGATCCAGACCGTTATTGTTTGCACATGGAATTATTCACTGGCAATTAATCTTCGATTTAACTGTGGAAAACGTCACTCGCCTGTTAGCATTAAGAAATTATGCACAATTTTCTGAGAAAAATCACCGTTTTTGTATGAAAAAATATTCATTTTCACTTCAAAATAATATCAAACTTCATCCGTTTCTCCTTAATTTGGTGTGAACATCATTGAATAAAAGGAACGGCTAAATGGCCTGATGATGGGAAATACGAAAGACATGTGGCGAAAAAAAACAATGTCGCCTGCTAAGTGTTGTTGTCATCACCCAGGTCACGGGGTGTTAAAAACAAAACGAAACACAACAAGCCATTGTTCAAACATAGGTTTGGAAAAAAAAAAAAAAAAAAAAAAACTTATATTAAGCACTACCAATGTTGACCCCTTTTTTTTTTTTTTTTTTTCACTCTTTGCTCTTATCTGGGAGTGGTGGGTTTTATTACAAGCTGATGATAACTTGTTCTAAACGTTTATTGCTGGCTAGCTGGCTGACCTTTGACCCAGACATGTCAATTTGGCTTAATTTTCCTTATTCCTGCTATTTTTTGAAAAAGGAAAAAAAAACAAAAAAACTTTTGGTTTCTGGTGGTCAGGAATTGCAGATAAATCTTTCGCCTTTTACTAAAGATTTCTGTGGCTGGGTCTCAATTTTTTTTAATCACTGGCAGTCATATAATTGAAAATTACCAATGGACTTTGTTGCATTTTGACCCCCTAGGAATGTTGATTTCCTTTCAGAAAATACCTAGTTTCATGGGGGTTCAAAAGTTTCCTTGATATTTGTTTAGATGATGAAAGCAGTCATTTTTCAATATTTTATCCCTATAAAAGTATGAAAATCCATTTTTGCAGAGAAAATGACTTTTGCCATTTTTGTGATGATATTTACTTAGGATAGAAATTTTTTACCATAGCAACTCTGAATTGACTTTACTTAAGTTCAGTGGGGCTATAGGAAACTTCAAACAGCTGTGAATTGGGCCTTTCCTGATGCAGTCACAACTTTCTGGGCTTGTCATGTTGCAAGGATAAGTGATCACGGAATACCTATGGCCCTCATACATAGCCAGCTTGTCTGTTGGACAGCCCTGACTCAGGTATAAAGAGTAACCTCTCAGCTGTTAATGTGCCTCATACTAACTTCAAGCAAGTTGCTCCAGGACAGAAATAAACAGAGATATTTGTGTCAGAGTAGTATCACAAATTTTTGAAAATCAGTCATATTGACTGGCTAAGAGACAAAAGACAACGATGAAAAGTGTCAGGAAATATTCCTGTGGCTATGTCCTGAGATCCTCACTGTTGCGCAATATGTGGATTGTATGCAGGTCATGAGCAGGACTGAAGTGTCACATACAACACAAACATAAAGACTGAATGAGGTTGCTAGATCCTCATATGTCCAAATTGACAGAAGAGGCCATGATCACACACACACACACACACACACACACACACACACAGATTCTAACTGCAAGTAAACAAGAACGGGAGTGAAACTATGAATATGCAAATGGGAACAAGATAGTATTAAGTCTTACCTTGAGTGGTTGAGAGATTTTCTGTGGTTTGCGTGTTAATACTTTCTGTAGAATCTTCCCTTACAGAGATGAGATCTTCGATCTTTAGCTCTGTTTTCTCTTGAGATAGTTCAGGAGTAGATGCTATTTCCAGGAGAGTTCTCGGATCCACCATATGGATCTTACTCTGGGCTGGAGTTCCTAATAATTTTGACAATGTTGGAGCAGCTATAAACAGATAAGGGAGAAAAAATTTGCCAGGAATTTATAAATTTACATAATTATTTGGTTTGCATTAAAACATATTTCTTACAATTAGGTAAGTTTGTATATCTTGATTTGAAAGAGGTGTTCTATGCAAGGAATTCACAAATTTAGCATTGTCTCTCTTTTTCTTGAAGACAAAAAAATAATATTGCCATGAAGAATATAAGAGTGAATAGAATATTTTGCTTAGTGGGTAAAAGCCCAAGAAAATAAAATAGGAGGTGAAAAATAGACATAAGAACCTTCTAAGTAGCAAATTTTAAAGCCCAGTGCTACTAAATTTTGAACTTTTTTCTTAATAGTAACCCAAAGTAGTCATTTTAGGCCACAAGAGAATGTATAGTGCTACTGTTTCTTCAAATTGACTTTTCTTATTAGTAGCCCAGTATGTTGAAAAGAAAAAAGAAAAGAAAAGAAAAAAGAAAGAAAAGAAAAAAAGAAAGAAAAGAAAGAAAAGAAAAGAAAAGAAAAGAAAAAAAGAAAGAAAAGAAAAAAAGAAAGAAAAGAAAAAAAGAAAGAAAAGAAAAAAAGAAAGAAAAGAAAAAAAGAAAGAAAAGAAAAAAGTTAGTTAGATTCAGTGACAGGACCAAAGAGTGTGAGTTCAATACCCGTTTAAGGCAGTGGAGAACTTGCAGAGGGGAATTAACAGGAGATATCATTCATTAAATATGGCTCGTGGAACTAGTCTACTCCAGTGAGTGAAATAAAGGGTTCAGTTTGTCATTCCAACCACCTTAAGAAGGCCAGATTGTACAACGTCCGAAACATTGTAATAAATATGGCAACAAAGATGGGGACATTAGTCCGAATAATGTAAATAATGTAAAGAAAAAAGAAAAGAAAAAATAGAAAAAGGAAAAGAAGGAGAAAAAAATGGAAAAAAAAGAAAAAGGGATCCCAAAAAGTTCTAAGTAACAGTATTTCTAAATTTAGTAGTGTTTATTTTTAAAAGTAGTCCAATCTGCCAGTAGATATGTTTTCTCTAGAGGACATGAAATCTATCATAGTAAAAAAAAACAAAAAAACTGGGGTGAATATATACAAGCTCATTGTAAAAGTAAAGTGACTCCCCCCCCCACGCATTTAATATCCATTTGTTTGTTAATAAAATATTAAAGATCTGCATGTGAAATTGCCACTCTAGGTCACAAATAGCAAATTGCATTACAAGACAATGTTCAGCACTACTAAATTTTGAAATGACTTTCTTCTCATTAGTAGCCCAAATTAGTTTCGTTTTAAAAGTAATTAGTAGAAAAAGAAAGGAAAAAGAAGAAAAAAAAGTTATTAATAGAAAGATGTCTAAATTTACCAGTACTGGATTTTTAAAAGTAGTCCAATCAGAGAAATATATACTATATATATATCATATATACTTGAGTATAGCGTGAGTTTTTATGATCAGTTTTTTTTGGGGGGGAGGCACTATACACAGATATTTTTTTTTTTTTGAAGAGGTTAAAATACATGGATTTTCAGTGATTGGCTGCACTATACACAGATAAACTTTTTTTTCTGGAAGGGTTAAAATTCATGCAAAAAAATTCAGGAGTCACACTATACATGAAGACAGTTTATACATGAGTATATATTGTAATCTAATATGGTAAAAAATGGGGGATCAATTCATGATTGTTTATATTAAAAAATTAAAAAAAAAAAATGAAAAGAAAGGGGTGATCTTCCACTTAATCGCCACTTAAACAAATATTGAAGATCTACGAATAGAGTTGCCAAATTGAGCTATTGTTGTAACTTAGAAAATGTTACTGAATGAGGAATAACCAAAACGGAGGTTGGAAATGAGATGGTAATCTTTATAACATCAACAAAATACAATACTCGCCAGCAGCATGAAGTAGGTAAACCACTGCTGGGGGTGAACTACTTAGACAGTATATTACCCCTACTTACAATCGTGTCCAATATATTTATGAGGACATACCCATTAGTCTTCATAGGTATGGTATATAACAGCTACCAAGTAGAAAATTGGTCAACATATGAAAGCCCAGTGCTGCTAAATTTTGAATTGATTTTCTTATACCAACCTAATTTACAAAGTGGCCTCAAAGGGTTGCAAGTTGGGAAATCCAAAGATTGTGTTAGATTTTTAATAGTCAAATCTGGTAGCAAAACTATCCTAATGTATATATGCCCCAAGGAGAATGATAAGGATCAGAAACAGATTCTAATATCAGCCATGCTTTCAATGTTTCTGGGTCAAAAATTTGAGACCAAAATACAAATATAAAATTCTTTTGATAGTCCAGTAGATATTTATCATATAATGTGGGAGTAGAATTCTATGCACTAATGAAAAATTGCACCAATACTTTCCAAAAAAGAAGAAATTAATTTTAAGTTCTTAACTGAGGGAAACACTAATTGTTCAGTAATGAGATCATTCCTAAACAGAAATAAAAACTAGAAAAGAAGATAACCTACTTGGAAAAAGAAAACCTATTGGAGATTAGATTGGTCACTCAATTGCCAAGTCACCAGGAACTGGACCAATCACTAATCAACACAGCAGGAATTAATAGTGGGAATTTATTAGTAGTAATAAAAATCCTGCAAGTTGAACAGTAGCAGTTGTGAGAGCCAGCAGTTTTGGAAGAAAAGTGAAAATGTGCAGCTTTCTTCAGCAAACAGATTATGTTCTAATAATAGTTTTGGCCTAAATCTAAAAAAATTTGATTTGTTCTTGTTTCCCAATGAGCAATTAAATTGGGTAAGGTGGTAGTTTTTGATATATTTTAAAAAGTGTGCAAAATTTAATAATAGCAATTAAAATGGACATATTAAAACAAAAGAAAAAAAATAACAAAAACTGGTAAAGGTTATATTGATACTCTCTCATAATATTATCAGTATTGAGGAAAGCTCACTCTGATTTTCACTTTAAAGCTTGAGAGTAAATTTATATTAAGCCCTAACAGCCATCCCTCTAGTAAGTATAATTAACTTTTATACATTTATGATATAACATCTAGTCTTTGATGTTTTTCATTTTAGTCACTGTGCCCATTTCTTGTCACCTGATTAAAGAGGAGTGATAAGTCAGTTGTTTTTTTCATTCATTTGAGTATTACCACTTTATATTAATGTAACCCCCTTCTTTTTTGTTATTAGTTCATCTTTATTATTATCATTATCATTATTATTTTGTTATATTTTAGTAATAGCATTGTCAGAGTGGTGTATAGCATTCATTCCAATTTATATCTAATAGAATTTGATTTGATTCATTCATTTTTTATGGCTTATCAACCTAGATTATTTAAAGCCAGAAAATATTTTTAGATTTTAAGAAATTTTAATAATGACTTTAGTGATACAAGTTTTACTAATTAACCCCTAGCTGGGAGGATAAGAGGTGGATTCATACCAAATCAGAATTTGATTTAAAAAAAATATTATAGCATGGATATAAAGTGGGGGATCAATTATATATTACAGTCAATATATAAACAGATCCCTCACTTTGTGGAAATGGTAATTTCTATACATTTATATTCCACAGAATGTAAATAAATCTAAAAGACATACCTGTGCAGCTAATCAGTATTTGATTGATTGATTGATTTGTTTTTTATGATTTATCAACTCATTACAGGTTATTTAAAGCCAGAAAATATTTTTAGATTTTAAGAAATGTTTTTGTTTTTTGAGATAATAATGACTTTAATGATACAAGTCTTATTAATTAACCCATAGCTGGGGAAGAAGAGGTGGATTCATACCTTTTCCAAGGGTATTTGTGTGCAAAAGAATATAATGCACCCAACTGGAATTGAAACTCAGCTTTCTGATTAACAATTCTGAGCCATTATCTATTACACCACCCACACATCCAAGCTTACAGTACCTGGTATTTCTAAGTGGTCACCCATCTAGGTACTGACCGGGCTCAACATTGCTTAATTTTGATGATCGTACTGGGACCAGTATTTCAATGGGATGTGGCCGTAAGCTGTTTAAATAATGCCTCATCATAATCAGTAGTACTGGATTTATTGGTTTAAAGGCTGTTAATATTATTTTAATCAGAATGGTTAGTTTACCCAATAAAGTCTCTTATCCAGTCTCTGAAAGTAAAATTCCTGAACATTGACAATACCTTTTTCTTTACTCAAGTTTTTGATAAAAAAAAAAAAAAAATTACAAATGTTTGTAATTTTCTTTCATCATTTTAAAAAATCTTTTTTAACAAAAATATTTAGCATAGAAAATGATGAAATCTAAACTGGAGAATGTTTGAGTAGTGATACTGTCAGTGGGCAGCAACAAGAAAAAAATAACCAAGGCTTTGACTAAATACATTAGTTTTAAGTGCAGTTGATGCTAAAAGAATGACATGATTATAGTAAATCCATTATCAGTAAATAAGTAATCATTAGAATGACAGTTTTGATCTATTTACTTAATAAAGCCTATCCAGGATATCAAAGATTATAATTTGTATTAAAATCATTGCTACACACACACACAAAAAAGGCAATATATTTCTATAATAATTTATAATGACTTCATTTTCATTAATCATTTCATCTCAAGATGGTGATAATGGCATCAAGATACAAGGGGTTATTGGGAGTGAAAGAGAATGAGAAGACTTTAGCAAGGAGAAAGGACAATAAAAGAACAGGATTCAAGAAGACAGAACATAACAATTGATGTCACATTTAAATTTTTGAAGATTGCAACTAATTGGATGAAAGTTCCACAGAAGAAAAGTGAAAGGAATATTGACAGAAACCTTTAACTTGATACTTTTTCAAAAAATGACCTATATCAAATGGATATTTGGGCCATGCAACACAAAATTCAGTCAAGTTAACAGAATTTTTTTTTTGCCATATTTAGCCTGTTTTTATTTCTAATCCCAAACTACAAATAATGCTAAAAAATAAGCCTGATACAAAATTATCTATAAATATATATAAAATTACATATGATAAAAAAAATAGCTTTAAGGTATGCTATATTTATGAGTTAAAGTGCTCAATATCAGGGTTAGAATGTATGTAAATATAAAAATATATATGTAGACATTGAGGTCAACACCCAGTGGCAACAGTCTGTTTCATGCTTAAACGTAATCATTAGGCCATCTGTGTTGTGTTTTGCCTTGACTATTTATACATGTTGGCCAGTGATGCATTATGGGTAGATCTATTGTATTATTCTAACAATTATCAGGTGGTTGTAATGGCTGTGTTTTCAAATTATTTTAGAGGGTTATTGAATGGAAATAATGGTGGATCTGGATAGTTTTCTGGCTATTTTACAGTATTATTTGTTAATTTTATTGTTGATTGTTATCATGTTTGTGTTTATGCATGCATTTGTAATTTGTTAATTTGTTTATTATTTACTTATTAAATAAGTAAATAATTTACTTATTGTTTTAACCTAGAAAAAAAGGTTACTGAATAAGAATAACCAAAATGAAGGTTGGAAATGCTACAATAATATTTATAACAGGAACAACATACAAGATTCGCCAGCAGCGTGTAGTAAGTAATCAATTGCTAGTGGTGAGCTAGAAGTGAATCAAGGTGAATTGCAAGTGAAATCACACAGTGAATCAACATATAGTATATTCCACTCTATTTATAATGATTGGGACGTACCCATTATAGTCCATAGATACAGTATAACACTTATTAAATAAATAAATTTTAATTTGTTTATTTATTAAATAATTAAATAGATTCAGTAAATGATAAACAAATTAACTATGAATGCATGCATAAACACAAGTAAACATAATAATAACAAAGAACAATAAATAACAAAGCAATCAATAATAAAGTTAACAAACAACACTATAACATAGCCCCCAAATCTGTATCCAGATCCATTATTATCTCCATTCAATAACCCTCTGGAATAATATGAAAACATAACCATTATAATCACCTAATAACTGTTAGAATAATACAAAAGACCTACCCATAATGCATCACTGGCATGATGATTATGTTTAAGTATGAAACAGACTATTGCCACTGGATGTTATATGTAAATATTCTCAGATGGAATGTATTTATAAATATAAAGGCTTATAAATTTAAGAACATTCATGTTTTTTTTTAACAATTTGTCATACACAGAAATAAATCCGACCACAATTTTGATCTAAAAAAACGCTGCACTCATCAAAAGACAAAAGTAATTTTCTTTAGAAGGAAAATTCTTGAGAGTGCTGCCATTGAATATTATCAAAATATCGATCTATCCCCCAGTTTTTTTCCCAATCTCACCTTCTCTGAAAAAATTACTACTTCCCCAAGCCAACATACACAATAAATATATTGAAAAATCAAAAGAAAACAGTTAAATTTATCTTTTCATCCTTTGAAGATGTACAGCACAAATGTCCATCTCATACCATAAAAATCTAAACACAATCCAAGCAATATTCATTTAGAAAAAAAAAAAAAAGACTGAATATTATTAACTTTAATTTTTGCCAGACTGTATTATAACACTGTGTCCTCCGCATACTTTGACTGACCTTTCAACCACCTGATGAACATTCATGAATATTCTCAAATTTAAAAGACTTGATAAACCAATGACATCCTCACCTTTCTATATAAACATGTGCAACGTAATAAATCCTACATTCTCATGATAAAGTCCCTCAGAGGACAAAATATGTCAGCTAAGTATAGCTTTCCTTTTGTCTCTTTTTATTCATATATATATATATTTCAATTGGGCACTGTTGAATGACAAGCTAATTTTATAAACAACAGCCACCTGTACTAATGCAAAGCTCTTCAGTAAAATGAATAGAGCCCTATGGCTGATTGGCATTTGTTTACATTTGTAAAAACAATATGCTAGATTTAGCTAGCTCATTCTGTCGAATGAAGATAGCTCAGTGGTAAAAACTCTAACACCAAATCGGTTGGGTTTCAATCCTTTCTTGAGGCATTCGGATGTCTAGTCACACTGAAGGGCTGTGAGGAGCGAAACAGTACTGTCTGCGAATGACATATGTGCGTGTGTGTGTGTGTGTGTTATACTGTATTTATGGACTATAATGGGTATGTCCCAATTCCTATAAATACAGTGGTATATACTGTATGTTGTCTTCCACTTGGGATTCACTTGCAATTCACCTTGATTCACTTCTAGCTCACCACTAGCAGTTGATTACTTACTACATGCCGCTGACGAATCTATGTTGTTTCTGTTATAAATATTATCGTTCCATTTCCAACCTTTGTTTTGGTTATTCTTATTCAGTAACCTTTTTCTAGGTTACAACAATGTATAAGGCAACAATCCCACTTTTATACATTTTTTGTTAAAGATGACTGACAAAGTATTGCAATTAAGCTTTTAATTTAATTTTTCTTGTGTACGTAAAGGAAAAGCCAACACTCAATAACAATAACTATGAACTCAGCCACAATGTGCTGACCATGTCTGATTTTGTCGAGAATTTCAATATATAGTATGAAGACCTGATATGGCAGTAGTGATTATTATGTTTACTGTGATTAAGGTGGATGAAAAATTTTATCTTTTTTTTTTTTGATATCACATATCCTTCTTGGGTCAGTTCACACACCTTCATTTTTTCTGTTTACTGTGACCATTTTGCTTAAAGTTAGTATTTCCTTGACTACAGAAGAAAACTTGGAAAGTTTCCAATACACGCTTAGACTTTGAGGTGGGGGAGGTGGGGGGAGGGACCCCCGAAAGTGATTAAACCTACTCCATTTATTAATTTTGCACTTTTTGATCCTTCAAATAATTTTCCAACCTCTTCTTTTATTAATACCTCCAGTTTATTGCATATACAGACCCCACCCCCAATTATTAAGATCCACCTTTTTTGTTTTTAGGCACTTATGAATATTTTAGTGAAATTTTCACATTCCAAAAATTATCTTTGAATAGTGAAGAGAAAAAAAAAACAAAAAAAAAACAAAAAAACAAAACAAAACAAAAAAAAAAACTGTGTCATTTTAAAATGATACCAGGATATGGGTAAAAAAAATCCTATCTCTTGGATTCAGTCAATCAGTTAAGTGCCATACATGATACACACTTAGGCAATCATGTCTCTTTTAATTTATAACTGATTAAGTAGAAAAATTTCCCACAGTAGGTTGCCATCTCTTTTTGCAGTAGACTGATTGCCAACCAAGGCTATAGGACCCAATCTGTCCTACTATTAAACCCATCTCTAATACCAATTGTAATATTAGCAGTTTCCTTGTATGGAAACATTCAGTATTCATTGACCAAGCAGCCAGTATTACTTGACTTTTGCTTTTCTTTCACTCACGGGTCATCAGACTAGGATCAAAGTGTAATATCTGTTCTCCTTATCTTCAATCAGTCAGTTAAGTGACATATGTGGTACACACTTGGGTGATCTATTTCAATTAGGTAGATGGTTTGCGGTTTCTTTCTGTGGTGGACTGGCTGCCAATCAACTCTATAGGATCCAGTCTGTGCTGCTATTTAACCCATAGCTTGGAGGAGAAGAGATGGATTCATACCTTTCCCAAGAGTATTTGCATGCATTTGAATGTAACAAAATCGACTGGAATGCAAACTCAGCTCTCTCTCAGCCATTATCCATTACACCACAACTCGCATCCTCATCTCTTGAATTACATAGAATACATTAAATGATTTTGATAATAGCAGCATCCTTAAATTAAACCTTTGCTACGAAATTGTTTTAAGAAATGCAACTTACAGGTCGAGGGCGATGTTGTGATATCTTGTGAAAGTCTAGTTATACCAGTGGACAGTTCGGGAGAAATTGTGTTCACTATGGTGGGTGCAGTAAGCGTCTTAGGGACAGGTAAAGCAACCATGGCAGGTAACTGTGTGGTCTGAGTGCCTGTCACTGGGGAGGACAGAGTCTGAAGTGGGGGTGCACTGCTGCTGAGAGTTGCAATGTTAGGAAGTGCAGTTGGTATGTGCTGTTGTTGTTGTTGTTGCTGTTGTGGTGTAGAAAGGGGCTTACTGGGCAAGGATATTGTCAGCCCTGACGAGCCTGAGGTCACTGTAATGGGAAGTTCTACTGGAGCCAGCACAGATGTGGCAGGTGATGAAGAAGTGGATGATGATGATGAAGTTGATGATAAAGATGACAACGTATGCGCTGAATGCACACTAGTTGCATCAGACACTTGCAGGTGCTGGTATGCTTGAAGGGCTGCCGAATGCTCTAATTCTGCCTCCTGAAATTCAAAGAAAAGTGCATCAATTATTCATAATATTCTATTGGAGGATTGAAACGTTTAACAAACTACGATTATTGTCAAGAGAGATGTAGGTCAGAAAAGTGTCATTTAGTCGCATCACAATGTGTGCTTGACTAATACAATACATAAATACAAGACTTTAGAACAGGAATTGGAAGTGGGGGTGTTACCTGAATTTATATATTAAAAAAATTACTTTAGATGACCTACAACTCTCTAAAACAAAACACAGACAAAAAAAAGATAAAAGGGGGAAAAAAAGAAGGAGACAGAAGAGGGAAATAAAGGAGGAGGAGACAGACGGAGAAATAATAAAGAAGGAGACAGAAGCGGAAAGAATAAAGAAGAAGGAGACAGAAGCGGAAAGAATAAAGAAGGAGACAGAAGCGGAAAGAATAAAGAAGAAGGAGACAGAAGCGGAAAGAATAAAGAAGAAGGAGACAGAAGCGGAAAGAATAAAGAAGAAGGAGACAGAAGCGGAAAGAATAAAGAAGAAGGAGACAGAAGCGGAAAGAATAAAGAAGGAGGAGACAGAAGCGGAAAGAATAAAGAAGGAGGAGACAGAAGCGGAAAGAATAAAGAAGAAGGAGACAGAAGCGGAAAGAATAAAGAAGAAGGAGACAGAAGCGGAAAGAATAAAGAAGAAGGAGACAGAAGCAGAAAGAATAAAGAAGAATGAAAAAATGAACTAGAACAGTTTAACATTTTTAACCATGATGTAAAACGGCTCAATAAGAAAACTATATAAAAAGTTAAATAGAAAGACTTCATTGGTGTTATTTAATAAAGCCTGTTTAGAGATTATATATATATTGTGGGAGATAGACGCAAAGAGCCCAGTCTTGAACAAGTCAAAGTCCTGAAGACCTTCAACCCCTTCTCTGTGTGGCTCACTTTTTACTCAGATTTTTGGGCATGCATGCAAATTAGTGATAGTTAAAAAAAAAAAAAGAAAAAAAAAAAGAAAAGAATCACACGTGTATTTCTGACTAAATTGCTAATGGCAACTCTGACCCATGCGGGTAAGGGTTAGAGTTCCATGGTCCCATTTCAACAAACACACGTAAATTATTTTCGGATAGAGTGTATCTGTAAAAGAACAAAATGAATAAAAAGACAAGAAAAAACTATTCCCAGCTGATGCGTTTCATCATCTGAGGGACTTTATCAAGGCAAATGTAGGATTTATTTTATTTATATACAGGAGTTTTATGCAATGTTTTCTTTCAATCTCTGACAAAGCTTTAATAAAAGTAAAACATGTTAGATTGAAATGTTTACTATTTGTTCTTTATTTTATCATACAAGAGCAAGGATGATAAACCAATGGCATCCTTGCTCTTGTATATAAACAAAATAAATTCTACATTTGTCTTGATAAAATCTCTCAGAAAGCTTAAATCGATGGCTAAGAATAGTTTTCCCTCATCTTTATATATATATATATATATATATATATATATATATATAGTGTTTATATGTTATTTTTATAGATATAATTTATTTAAGTAAATGCAGCATTTTTTAATTAAACATTATTAATTACATTTACCAGCCTGAATATTCAAGAAATTTTGTATAAAGTGTGCTTATCTGAACATTCAGGCTGGTAAATGTAATTAATAATGTTTAATTAAAACTGATCATTTACTTAAATAAATTATATCTATAAAAATAACGTATAAACAGAAAATATATTAAAATGATTGTTGGACTTAATCCAATCCAATCCAATCCAATATATATATATAATACCAATTGTAATATTAGGAGTTTCCTCTGTGGAAACATTCGGTATTCATTGACTGAGCAGCCAGTATGACTCAAGTTTCGCTTTTCTTTCACTTCCTGGTCATCAGACTAGGATCAAAGTGCAGTATCTGTTCTCCATATCACCCAAATCACCAATCAGTCCATTAAGTGACATATGTGGTACACACTTGGGTGATCATGTCTATTTCAATTCAGGACTGATTAGGCAGTTTCTTTCTGCAGCGGACTGGCTGCCAATCAAAGCTATAGGACCTAGTCTGTCCTGCTTTTTAACCCATAGCTGTGAGGAGAAGAGAAGTCAAAGAAAGACAGAAGGGAAATAAATGCACCCACACATCAAATATATATATATATATATATATATATATATATATATATATATATATATATATATATATATAGATAGAGAGAGTCTGAATACTTATATCCTGAAAGGACATGACATTTAAAAAGAAAATGAAAAGAATTTTATGACTTTACAATGAAAATCTATTTTATTATCTTATCATAAAATAGATTTTTTGTTATCTATGCAATCAATCTTGTCAAGAGTCCCAATGAGTAATTGAAAAATTACAAAAGTCTCAGTCAACCTCTGATAAGTATTAAATGTTATTATATTTAATTCAATAATAATACACACACTCTTTTATTGTGAGATCAGAAAGCCCCAAGTTTGCTGTAGGTCAAGTGCCAAGGTGGGGAAAGTATGAGAGAGAACCCAGAGGAAGCTACATGCCTTTTTCAGTTGCTGCAGGCCATCTGCACTCTTTAGTTTACTCTGTAGAAGAGAAGAAAGAAGTGGGGATGATGGAGGGGTCGGCTTGGGTTTCTGCTGCTGCTGTTGCTGCTGCTGCAGTTGTTGTTGCTGCTGCTGCTGCTGATGTTGCCGCAACTGTTGCTGCAAAAACAAGTGCTGAAACTGCTGCTGGACCTGCGTCTGTGGGTGCTTTAACTGTTGCTGTTGTTGCTGCAACTGAGCTTGAACCTGGGCTTGCAGTTGCAGTTGTAGCTGCTGCTGCTGCTGTTGTTGTTGCTGGGGTGGAGGTGGAGGTGGAGGAGGTGGAATAGGTTCTGGAGTGGTGACAGTGGTAACTGGAGTCGCTGTTTCCATGGAGGGCATCACAGGGGCTACCACTGCTGGGGCAGTGGCTGTGGTCACTATGGGTAAGCTGCTGACAGGACTTGTGCTATCCGTCTCCAGAGGCTGAAATTAAATAACAGAAAATGTTTGTCAGCTCTTTAACACATTGACTGCTGACCACGAGATAACTCATGGTCGACAGTTTTTATTATGACACCAATTAAAGAGTTATCTCGTGCTTGGTGCTTTTTGATGTTTTCATCTTTGGAAACAAACAAGGAGTTTATTTTAGTGCAAAAACAATGTTAAAATTTCAGTTAAAACTCTAAATCAATTCACAAAAATTGTTTTATTGCCTAGGTTGGTGTACAGAAGAAAATGGGAACATACTGCAAAAGCCAAAAAAGAAAGGGAAAAAAAGAAAGGGAAAGAGAAAAAGAAAGAAAAACAAAAATGAAAGAAAAAGGAAGATAAACGGAGAAAGAAAGAAAGAAAAAGGAAGATAAACGGAGAAAGAAGGAAAAGGGAAAATAAAAGGAAAAGGAAAGAAAAGGAAAAGGAAAGAAAAGGAAAAGGAAAGAAAAGGAAAAGGAAAGAAAAGGAGAAGGAAAGAAAAGGAGAAGGAAAGAAAAGTGCACATAGAGATTTGGACTTTGTAAACTTTTATGATACATACATATTGTACACAGAGTGCAATGGGAAATTGTCACCATTTTATATATTAATTTTATATATGTGCATTGTTTGTTTTGGATTTTGTAGGGTCAGCTGGACACCGTCTATGATAAAAAAGCACTATGAAAATAACACTTACATTTACCAAAATTACACAAAAATATCTTGAAATACTAAAGAGTAAATTTATTCAATAAAATTGTCATTGGCTTCAACCACGGCCTCCAGACGACTTCTAGACAGTCTCCTTGTTTAAGTTGGTGAGTGTTGCCATAATCCTTGTCTTCAGTTCATCTTTGGTGTTACAAGGAGTTTTGTTGGTCTACCCACATATAATAATCAAGGGGGTTGCAGTCTGAGGAGTTTACCCAGCAGGTGTTGCCTCTCTTGATGCAAAAGAAGCACTGGCATGTTGTGCAGTAGACAGAAGACTTCACAGCATTGACAGGACAGTTTTTCTAGGCCACAGTTGTTTTTTTTCTGCTTGAATTTATTGTATTTATAAGAACACATGGCACAGAGGTTGTTAGGAGACATCTTTTGGTATCTCTGGGATAGGAGGCTGACATTTTGCAGGTGTTCCAGAGCATCAGCATTGATTGACTGCCTGTACACTGCAGCTGGCCAGAATGCACCCACCAGATCCATACAGTATTGATCTAGGAACTTTCTGAAGCTGAGGGACTTGGTTTGCTGAGGGAAAGTTGTCTGGAACAACACATCCATTTTAGAGAAATGAGAAACTTGATGAAGAAACATCTTGGCCAGTGGTGATGACAGTGTGTCTTGTACAGACGTGTCATCTGGTCATTTTTGATAGATCTCCCTCCTCCATGTAGTGGTTGTAGTCACTGACCAGCTGATGCATTTTGATCTGGATCATTGTGCCATCTTTGTTTCTATGCTCAGCACTTCACATTTTCCGGGGGTTGTGACATATATTAACAGGAAATTGATGGGCTTTCTGTTATTCCACACCATTGCCATGATGACATCCTTGCATTGAAAGTTATTGTCACCATTTTCTTTATATTCAGGCTTTGTGGGTATTTCTTTCTGTTGGTCATGGCTCTTTCCATGGCAAGAGTATTCTGCATTGTCAGCAAGTACTGGAACAAATCCACACTGTTGTAGTATCTGTCCATTACAAAGATGTGATGCTTTCCTTGGGTGTTAGCTGAAGTCAGTAGGCAATACACAACATTGCCAATCACCCTAATTCCATCAATTTCCTGTGTGGTTTTGACGGTGTAGATCTCTGCTCCCACTATATATCCAGTTTCTCCTTCACAGAGCATGAATGACTTCAGATCAAATTTGTCTTTGATGTATGGCTTGATGGCAAGTCTGTTCTTGAGTGGAATTATTTCTTCGTCCAAACTGAGGTGTTGTCTGGGCACATAAGCGTCAAAATTTCTCCAACAATGAATTTAGCATTGATTTGACCTTGTAGATGTCATCTGCTTTGTCAGTTGTAGCATCAGTTTCATCTATAACATGAAGAAAAGCCCAGATGGAAAGAAATCTGTCTCTTGACATTACTTCTTGAAAACCTGGCATTTCTGACAGAAAATTTCCTCCCCTCGATTCGCAGTACTTTCTGAAATGAGGCTTCATTATTGTTGTTTTCATCTGCAATCTCAACCCAAAGAAAACCTTTGCTTCTGCTTCAGTCAGTTTATCTTTGTATGTCTTGCCGTAGTGTTACTCAGGCTTTGCTTCCTTGATTTGATCTGCACGCTGGTTTGTTTTGGTTACAAAGTTTTGCCAGAACTCATCATTCAGAAGTTGACGTAATCAATTGTGTGAGAGCTTCTGTTGATACATTTTAGAATGTTCTTTTCTCCACTTTTAGAATCATCAAACTCGATGTCATTTGCCTCATATTCCAACCATATCAATCTTCTCTTACGTCTTCTCTGACATCACCGGAGTCTGTGAGGACACGCCTCCTTTAATTAGTTGTTTCTGTATACACAGTTCCATTTTCACTGTCTGTCACAAAATCATCCTATTTGAATTCCATTTCATTATCAGAGCAATCATTGTCATACCCCAGTTCCGATAAATCATTAAGCATATCAATTACTTGCTGTGCAGAGTTCTTTTCTTGCATGTTTTGTCCTTGATTGCTTCTCTGATGGTCCAGATTGAGACTCTGCATGCTTCATGGTAAAAATGATACTTTTTATCCAAAACACATGCACAAAACACAATGCAAAGGTGTGGACATGTTGGTATAACATTTGATGACATCAGAATATTACGGCTTTTCTGATTGGCTCTTTAAAATAAGACAACCACTAGCAAAACACGACACAAGTGTTTACCCACCGTTCAACTGGTGGCTGGGGATTAAGTCATTTTTCTCTACCGCCGGTAAAGCAGTGGTCAGTACTCAAAGGGTTAAGACTTGAAAATTGAAGGTTATTTTACTCCACATTACTTCTGTATATAAATATAGGTCACTAAATAAAATTTCTACAATTGCCTTGATAAAATTCCTCAAGGAACAAAATGTGTTGGCATAAGGTTTTTCTCTTACCCTTTTCATATATATATATATATATATATATATATATATATATATACACACACACACACATATGCATACATTTATTCGTTCAAATGTTATTTTTAATGGATACTCATATTTGAGCAGATGGTCTGTGTTGCAGCATACCTATGGACAATAATGGGTATGCCCCCATTCCCATAAATACAGTAATGAACACTGTACGTGTCTAGAGTTGGAAATTCATTGTGTAATTCACTTGACTCACTTCTAGCAGTTGACTACTACTTCTACATGCCACTGGTGAATCTTATATGTGTTGTTCTTGTCCTAAGTATTATCATCCATTACCAACCTTCATTTGATTATTTTATTCAGTAACCTTCTCTAGGTTACAACACTGATTTTTATTCAGGCCAGCAGATGTAAATAAATATACTGTTTAATTAATAAATAAAAACAGAACATCTACTCAAATATGGGTATCCATTAAAAATAATGTTTAAACAAATAAATTAAATATATGTCAGATTTAATCCATTTCCTAAAAATTGTCTTTGTTTACGTTACAATATGAAACAGAACAGATTTGTATATTTCGAGAATGGCGAAAGATATGTGTTCAAATGCACTATTTGGGCTTTGTTTGATTATGAGGTCCTACATGGCCGAGATGTCAAGGCACGTCAGATCTAATGAGTGCTTTCCATAGGGGACAGAGGTTTGAATCCTGCTGAAGGGTACAAAAGATTTTCTCAAATATTAGGACAGAAGATGTAAATAAATATACTTTTTAATAATAAAAAAAAATATATGAAAAAACAGCATCTACTAAAATATGAGTATCCATTAAAAATAACATTTAAACAAATAAATAATCCATTACCTAATATATATTGTTAAATATAACAGACAACGAATGTCTATTAGGTTTCATCATGAGCCGTTAATATAGCTTAATATAGTGGTGTTAGTTTTGGAAGAAATGTAATTTTGTTGAGTGTGGGTTGCTTTGTTTTAGTATAGATGGCCTCCAATTTCTTCTTTTTACTAACAATAAATGCACTACATATTTGGTTATACTACAACCAGGTTCTCCCATAGACTTACTTATCACCTTTCTGATCTTAGTTCCATTAAACAACATTTTTTAGAAAAACAGCCATGTACATATTCTGTGACCGTTATAGTCACATAGCAAGCTTCTATGTAAACGTAACAAGATGCCATCTTTGATAGTGAACATCTTTGTTGTAATGTCCATATGACCACTAGATGATGGCTCATGTGAGCTTAGATCAATGAACAGCATAATAAAAAAAATATCCAAATGTTTTTGTTTTTATTTTCTTCCGCAACTAACGGCTCATGATCAAACATAATAGACATTCGTTGTCTGTTATATTTAACAATATATATTTGAATAATGATCTGCTGCCCCAATACATTATATATATATATATATATATATATATATATATATATATAAAGAAATATAGTCTTAAGGTGTGCTATGTTTATGGGATAAAGTGCTGAATATCAGAGATAGAGTGTGTGTGTAAATATAAAAGTGAACATTGAAGTCAACACTTAGAGGTAACAGGCTGTTTCATGCTAGACGCAATTGTCATGGCCTGATGATTGTGTCTAGCATGAAACAGCCTGTCGCCTCTACATGTTGATTTCAATGTTCACTTATATATTATATTCTTACTCCATTCTGGACATTGAGTTCTACCTGGATTCTATCCTCATGGAAATATACATATATATATACACACACACACACACAATAAGTTGCTTCTAAAAGACCCTACTATAGAGTAATTAACTGGCAGAGCCTAATTTTAATTAAATTTCCAATGAACAGTGGCCAATCACAACTAATAGTGTCATGTTTTTTCATGCAATCATCAGACAAACCACTTGATGATTTCATTTTATTTATTCACCGTAATTTTGCTTTAATAGATAATGTTGGGGCCACCAACCTTCCCATCAGAATGGAGTGATCTCTCTACTACTAATAGGACAGATCTATAGAGTTCTGGGAAGATCAGGTGACCATCACACTTCCGTCTCTCTACTGGAAGATACAGTTGGACTTTATACTCTTTCTGATGGTTACTGACTAACCTGCGTTCGTTTGACTACTAATCTCTCTCTTGTAAATACCTCTTCAGATATACCAGTATTTTTCCCTATGTATGTGTTTTTCCTTATTTCAATACCCACACGGGGAAACACTCAACATCTCAACAGATAAATTAAAAACAAAAATTGAAAAAAGCAGAATTAATAATGCAAAATATAAAAACAAATACTTACAGATGGGATATCCATTGTGTGGCTTGTGGAGTCATTGCTTTTTTCATCGGTGGTTTCTGAGCCAGGGGTATGGCCTTGTTTTGAAGGAATGTGCTTTATCTTGAGAATACCTTTGGCAAGACAAAAAAAAAAAAAATTTAAGGCTTATATATATTTCTGGAGGGCCCGTCTACAAAACTCCGTAGTCAGAATGCTGAAGGTAACATCAATCAGCTAAGTGACAAATTTTATATTGATATTAAATTCTATATATATGTATGAATAAATACAAAAGGAAAACTTAGCTGATGTGGTGCCTCTTCCGAGGGACTATCAAGGAAAATGCCTCAAAGGCTGAAATCTGTTTTCCTTTTGTCTTTATTCATATACTCTATTTGAAATTTTTACACACACATGCATATAAAATAAGAGGCTAGAGGAGGGTTCCACAAGTGAGAAGTGCAACAGAGGAAACTGTTAGTATAGAACTTATGGATACATCTGACCACTTCGACTGTAAGATGATGAGACCTTACTGCCAATCTAGTACTGTGCTTCAATTCATAAAGTCTAGATGTCAGATTAGTACCAATAACATTGCAGATTCTTCTTTCTATTTTATCAAGAATCTCTAAATACATAGCACAAGCACCAGACCAGATGTGACAAAAATATTAAATGCATGGGTGAATAGTAGACTTATAAATATATAAAATAGATTCTGTCAAGATAAATTGTCTAGGACACAGTGAACCAATTATCTTAGCAGCAGACCCAGCTGTTGATACAATATAATGTTCCCACTTCATGTCATTAGCCTGAGAAGTATTTTTGTTTCCAAATCCTAAATTAATAAATCACCCTCTATCACTTTATTGTTTCTTAGATTTTCTTAGGAAAATAAAAAAATAAAAGATAGTATCTTTATAAAAATTGTTTTTTTAATAAATTAATCTTAGTAACGATTGTCTGGATATTCCTATTATTTGGGAAGGAAAGAAAGAAAGAAAGAGAGAAAAAATATAAACAAAGGATATGCACTCTCTCCTCCCCTTCAGGCTGTTTAGACATAGGAGGGGAAGGTCTGGTTTGCTTATGTTTCGCATTGGACCCACCTCCTTTATTTTACTCATAGATTTTACTAAGTAAATCCAAGAGATAATAAAATTGATTTCTAATACTTGTGCCTAGAGTGCAGAATAAACATAGGAATCATATCTAGTTTACTGATCCAGGCCACTTGAGAATAAATATATATGGCGGGGCTTCTTAACCTGGAGGCCCATGGAAATTGATATGCATGTAGTATGCAGGAGAGTGCAATATAGAGAAATGCACATACAAGTGTTGTGGAAAAACCAATCAGACTGTGAGTGTCTGCTTGTCTGTCTTTGAAAGACTAGTTCTTATAGGTGTCCGTGACTCAAAAAATGTTAAAAACCACTGATATATGGCATATCTTTTCCAACATAGTTTCTGCTAAATTTAAAGTGCATCTCGTATAAGAATTGTTCTCAGAAATCAAAATAAAATTTTATCTTGTGGGGAAAGTTTGGTAATGGACCAGTGCTTCGCATGGACCCACATATCCTTAAAATTCCAGATGTTATTTTCTTATAAGATGGAAAATTGAGTCATGTTTGCTCACCTGGTGTACTGGTCGTTTTGTTGGGGCTTTCTGATAATTCATATCTTCTCTCACATACAGCTGCAGCCGCTTTCTCTTTAGCACGCTTCTCTCTACAAAAGATTTTCAAAAAGATTTATCAAAGAGTGCATCATGAAACCTAGGCTAGCAGCAAAAACTATTTGCTAAAATGTCTCCTACCCATTAAAGAACAAAAAAAATGATTGCATGAAATCTTATTTATCATTTGTAGAGTACCACATGAAAGGACGTAAGAAAGGAATTTTGATTTAAATTCTAGAATTGTTGCTTAGAACAATTCACACCTTCAAGTTTGTCAAGATGTTTCAAATTAGGAAACATAAATGATCATGGCTCTCCAGATTGCTTTCCTTTACTATCTGTGAATTGCCAGGACTTCTTGCCAAGAGAATGAGGTACCCTATAGCCTCTAAGAACTTTCTGTTTCTTTTCTTGAAAAAGATAGTAGAGTGGTTTCCCCATTTCCTTCTCCTAAACTAGTTCACTTTTTTTTTTTTATAGATGCAATGCCCCTTCAGGATGGAAATAATCATGGCTCTCCACAGACTCCTTTCCTTTATTATCTGTGAATTGCCATAACTTCTTGTGAAAGATAGTAGTGGTTTCCCCATTTCCTTCTCCTAAACTAGTTCCCTTTTTTTTTTAGATACCATGTCCCTTCAGGATGGAAACAATCATGGCTCAATTCTTGTTAATTCCCCTCTGCAAGTTCTCCACACTGCCTTAACCGGATATTGAACTCACACCTTTATCCCCTGTCCTTGAGGACACATGGCACAAGGGAATTAACAGGAGATAACTAGTACCTGATATCCATTAAACATAGCACGTGGAACTAGAACAGTCTACCCCGGTGAGCGAAATAAAGTGTTCAGTTCGACATTCCAACCACCTGAAGAAGGCTGGAGCGTACAATGGCCGAAACATTGTAATAAATATGACGACAAAGATGAGGACAATAGTCCGAATAATGGAAATAGTGTAAAAATTTTTTTTCTTTTTTTGGAGTTAATAATGGCTTAGAGATACAAGTCTTACTAATTAACTCATATCTGGGGGTTGAAAAGGTGGATTCATCCTTTTCCCAAGGGTATTTGTGCGTAAGTGAATATAACAAAGCCAACCAGAATTGGAACTCGGGCTCTCCAATTAACAATTCTGAGTCATTATCCATTACACCACCTGCACATCCAAGCTTGGTATTCCCAAGCAGCCACCCATTTAGGTATTGACCAGGCTTGACTTTGCATAATTTTGGTGATTATACAGAAAGTGGTGGTTCCATGTGATATGGATGTAAACTCAAAGTTTAGAATTGAGGAAAACGCAAAAAAAAATTCAAGAATCTGACAAGCTAAAAGTTTCCCCACACATAGCTCATAATTCTACTAAAACATAAGGGATTACAGGGTGTGGAAGAATTAGGAAGAGAAACATTAATGATGAGTAGAAAGAGAATAGAGTAAGCAGGAGGACAGTAGATAGCAATTGACATTGCATTTAAATCTTTGCAAATTAAAGTTGGCTGGATAGCATGGAGTCAGAAGGGAGTTCCACAAATGAGAAGTGCGAGAGAAAAAACTGTTAGCATAGAATTTACAGCTACATATAACCAGCTCAAATGTAAATTGATGAGATCTTGACGCCAGTCTAGTACAGCACTTAAATTCAAAAACTCTAGGCACCATAGCAAAGAGCTCATTCAAACAATTACCATGAAAGTATTTATAAAAAAGACACAGAGAGGCAACCTTATGGTGGGGTAGGGGGAAAGTGACTGAAGCTGAGCTACCAGATCAGGACCAGTAATCTTGCAGATTCTTCTTTGGATCTTATTAAGGAGTTCAAGATAAATAACAGGGGTACTGGACCATATATGGCAAGAATATTCTAAGTATGGACAAATGGTAGACTTGCAGATATGCAAGATAGATTCTGGAGAGAAAAATTGTCTTGCCTGACATAGTGAACCAACTTTCTTAGCAGCAGATCTAGCAATGGATTTAATATAGTCTTTCCACTTCATATCAGCAGAATGTGAGCCCAAGAAGTTGCAATCAGTCACTTTCCTGAAGGATAGCATCAGCCTTGCTGATGGAAGGCAGCAAGGGGCCTTTCAGATGATTAATGGAAAGAACTTACTTTTGGAAGTGTTCAAATTAACAAGCCATCTTTTGCTCCATTTAACTACAGACTTGAGGGTGTTTTGCACATTGACTGCCATTTTGACCTTGTCGATAAGCCTTACTATCAAGAAGGTCATTAATAAAAAAAAGAGTAAGCCCAATGATGAAGCCCTGGGGGAACACCTGCGTTAGTACAAAAGTATCTAGACAAGTGGCCATTCAGGATAACTCGCATTTCACGATTTGAAAGATGTTCAAAAAAGTGTCTGGAGACACCATAACTTTTCAGCTTATGGAGAAGACCTGAATGCCAAAACCTGTCAAAGGCCTTCAAGATATCCAATGTAACAGTCCAAGCTTCACTGTTTTTATCTAGAGCATGATAAACTCTTTCCACAAATATCATCAGTACGTCAGCAGTTGACTTGGAGAAACAAAAGCCATAGTGCTTGTTTGAGAAATGGCTCTGTGATGAGAGATGATGAACCAATTCAGCCTTGCTTAGGATCTCTAGGAGTTTCCCAAAAAGAGGTAGAAGGCTAATAAGCCAATAGCTGGAAGAGTTGGAAGGCTCACCAGAGTTCTTAAAAACTGGAACAACAGATGATGACTTCCATCAAGCAGAAAAGCAACAAGGCATTTATTATATAGTTTAGAGAGAACAGGAGCCATTTTGGGAGCACACTTCTTAATGACTATTACATGGATACCACTGGATCCACATGCTTTGTGGGGATCTAGGTCAGAGATGATAGCAGAAACCATGGAAGGGGACATATGCAATTCATTCAACAGACTTGGTTCTAGGAGGGAAGTTAGGCAGGAATATTCCAGATGAATCAAGAATTGAGGAGAATTTACAGATAAAACATTCAGTTTTATCAGCAGAGGATGATAACACCTTACATTGATTGAAGAGGAGAGGAACAGAGACAAGAAACAGAAAGTTGTTAGAGGCTATAGGGTACCTCATTCTCTTGGCAAACAGAGAATTTGCTACTTTGAGGATTTGCTTATATTTATTGTGAGCAGCAATGAAAAGGTGCCTGTTGTGACAAGAGATGTCACGCTGGTATAGCCAAAAATAGCGGTTCTTGAGTGCGAAAACAGTCAAGCCAGCTGGTGTGAACCATGGAGAGGATTGAGGTTTCTCCTAATATTTCCAAGAAGGGATGAAAGCATCCATGCCGGCTTTGACCCAAAAAGAAACCTCAGTGGCACAATTTTCAATTGGGAGTTTAAAAACGTCAGTCTAAGGGGTGTCACGGAGAAAATCAACAAGTCCTAATCAGCAGGCTAGTAATGAAGAGAGGTATTGTGGAGGAGGGGTGAGAGTCCTGTTTAATAGAGGATTGGAATGAAATATCAATAGCTACCACAGAGGGGTCAGAATTGCCAAGAGGGCAATGTCACAAAGCTCGGCCAGAGTGAAGAGAGGAGGCAAGAAATAAATTAAGTAGAGAAGTATATTGCTTGGTTTTGCTAGAGAAACGAGTAGGGAAGTCCATGATATCTAATATACTACAATTCTGGAAAGAGAATGAGCATTAAAGGAAAGAGCTGACAAAGTTTAGTAATGAAAGACTGAAGCATATGAAGGAGTAGTCTGGGGTCTTGAGAGACAATTCCCTGGTCACTGGAAGATTATCCTGGATGTAAACAGCAAGGCCATGCATGTGAATACCGGAATCTTTTTGGTAAAGAGGAAGATAGCCTGGAAACAAGTATTCATTGGTAGCAATGGAAGAATTTATGTTAGTTTCACAGAGGCCAGCGATATCTAGCGACTAATCCAAGAGGAAATATCCTATGCTGTAAAATTTGGAATGGATACCACGAATATTAGTTAAAGAAAATATTTGTCTATATTTGAGGTATTGTAATTATTCCCCAAAGACACACGGGACAGTGGATAAAAGCTAGTTAGTTGAGTAATCCAGAAAGTGACTTGACATAAAGGGTTATGAGTTACCTGGACACAGGTGAGGGAACAAAAACTTGAAGAGTTACTAAAGGGAATTAATTGAAACTGAGATATCCATAAAAGGCATAGAAATAATGTTGTGAATGTGGCAATAACAATGAGAACAACAGTCCAAATAGTGTAAATAGTTACAATACCACATCTCAGAAATATAGACAGATACTGAAGAAGTCCGGAGTGTACAATGGCCAAAACATAAGTCTGAGCGATGTAAACAGTATAAATACCTCACAATGTTCTTCCATATTTCAGGTAGATAATCATCCATTTGACCACTTTGGATGCATTCAATTTCATGTTTTAATTTCCTGAAAAAAAGCAAAATGAAAATTTCCAAGCAGTCAGAACAGAAGCAGCAGATTTCAGAACAGAAAAAGAAACTCTAAATGCTTGCTTTCATTTCAGATTGAAAAGACAGCTTGAGAGTGTTGTAAATACAGCCTGATGGTTACATAACCAGTATTTGTCAATTAAAATACATAAAAATAAAATGTGGCATGATCAAAGAGATCATGGATGATGTGATCAAAGGATTCATTGCATATTCATATGATTGAATGAAAGATATATCTCATTAACCAGTTGACCAAGTAAATACAAGTTTTGAAATAGATGTGCAAGTATATATCTTAATATCAATATACAGTTTGATTGAATAAAAAACTACTGATTTTTTATTAATAGGGATCACTTCATCATTATATAAGAGTGCTCCATTTTCAAATATTAAACACTTTCCTATTTTTAACAGTGTTAGTCTTTTTCCACCTATTAGTTTAATTAATATTATAATAGCCCTATGGTAGAACACTTTCTAAAAAACACCATACAAAGCACTTATAGACAGAAAAATGGAGTGGATTAAACTGGACCCTTCATTTAAGAACATGCTGATTTTTAAGAATTAGATAACTTTTTCAAGAACTGAGCACTTTTTTGTTTTTCTTACATTGTTAAAATTATTTCACACTTATTGGTTGAAGTAATATATAATTATTTCAGCAATTAGATAGGTTTGCTTATCACCCAGTTCACATTCCCCAACAGTCTTCTGAACAGGAGTAGAGGTTTATCCCTTGTTTCAAATTGGGTTTTCAGTTCTTTCTAAAGTCTACTTCAACTCTATACTTCTAATGAGTCCGCCTGAACACTGAAATTTTATTTACTAATTTTATTTTTCCTATTCACTTGGAGTATAGATGTTTGCCTATCATCTGGTACACACTCCTCCTTGGTCTTTAAACAGGAGTAGTGGTTTATCCCTTGTTTCCTGTTTAGGATTGGGTTTCTGGTTCCTTCTAAAATCTACTTTCATTCTATACTTCTAATGACTCCACCTGAACTCTGAAATTTTATTTACTATTTTTTCTTTTCTTCTCAACCGGTGTAGATAGCTTTGCTTATTGTCTGGTTCACACTCCTCCCAGGTCTTTTGAATAGGAATAGAGGTTTATCCCTTATTTCCTGTTTAAGATTGGGTTTCTGGTTCCTTCTAAGTCTTTTCATTCTAAGTAGTCCCTTGCATCTTAGTGGCATTATTGCCTTAGTTGGGGGTGAACTGATTTTAAAAAAAAGAAAAAGAAAACAAAGAATAAAGAAAAAGAAAAAAAGAAAAAAAGAAAAAGGAAAAAAAGAAAAAGGAAAAAAAGGAAAAAAAAGAAAAAGGAAAAAAAAGAAAAAGGAAAAAAAAAGAAAAAGAAAGCTAATCAATTCTCAGACTCAATGAACTAAACTGTTCATATTTTCATACAGTTTGGTTGAATAACATTTTTATAGACAGCGATATTAAAGAAAGGATTTAAATTTTTTTTACCTCAAAATTAACTTTTAAGAAAGTAGTCCAAGAGACATAAAGATACAAATAAAATCAGAGGTTTATTCCCTCAATGGTAATTGCAATGACTGAATAATAAAATAGCTAAGTTTCTAGAAAAGAAAACTGTAAAATCCTTTGATTTAATAAAAGAAACTGACTTGTATTTGGTCTCTTCATCTGTGATCATCTTCATTAATTCCTCAAGTCTTTCTAATGTCAGCTTTCTCACAATTTGTTCCCCTGGGGTTTCATTAATTTCTTTGTCTCCTCGCTTCCTTCTGAAAGAGAACAGGAAAACAAAAAAGAAGTTATTTGCACAATTTTGTACATTTAACTCTTTAGCAATCGACATTTTCAAACCCACCCCATAAATATTGTCCCTCAATGTCTCATTCTTTAGCATTCGACATGTTCAAACCCACCCCATAAATATTGGCCCTCAATGTCTCACTGTCTGCGTAACTTCCTACTTTATTTGCAACGATACTGTCATGTGATGGCAGAGTATACATTGGGGTGGGTTACATAGAGAGTTGATATTTATGGGGTGGGTTGAATGCTAAAGGGTCAAAGCAAATTTTCTCACTCATGGCAGAATTTTTTGTTTGTCGCCATATTTCCACCTGCAACAGACTGTTAACTCACATGAAGAGTTTATTAAAAAAGAATTTGGGTCATTGTGTGTCAGCTTCCTCATAATAATAGTGATGTCAAGGGAAAAACTGTCCTTTTGACACCTAGTTTTTTTGTGAGCATGAAGGTCTAAAATTGCTTTAAAAAAAAAAAAAAAAAAAAAAATCAATAAAAATTAGTTAAAATCTAATCTAACAGTACTTTTGTGTACCAGACATAAATGTCAGCAAAACAGAATTATCCCCACCTCCCTGCACTGTGCTCATATTGTATAGCATGCTTTTTATAGGCACTGGCATGTTTATTAGACTTATATTAAAATTTGCAGTGGAACATTTATTTAAATTTGCATATTTATTTTGAAAAATTCCCACAAATATATTCCAAATGGCACTTTTATTTGTTACAAAAATGTACCATCAAATTAGAACCGAAACATTTAACGTGTTCAAACCCACGCCGTAAATATCAGTTCTCGAAGTCAGTTATTATTTGCAATAATGTCATCCTATGTTATGGCAGAGTAAACATTGGGGTGGGTTATAGTAGGTTGAACATTGAGAGCCAATATTTACAGAGTCAGGCTATCAGTTATCAGTGCACAGAAAGGACTGAAAAATTATTAGGAAAGTTAAAGCAATGGTTCCCAAATTTTCTCATTCATGGAAAAATCTTTTGTTTGTTGTTCTATTTTCACCTGCAGTAGATTGTTAACATACATGAATGAGTTTTTAAAAATGTCATTGTGTTTATCAGGGCAAAATATCCCTGTAAGTGGCCAATCTGCTGGTGGATTGATGTTTTTATTAAGATATATGGCCAAGCAAAGTTAAAAGGTTTATATCTGCCAATTAGGTGAAGACACATGACAATATACCAGTACAATTGTTGGCTTTCAAACAGTTCCATCTACCCAATTTTGCTCAAAAAAGGTCTAATTATCTATTATATAAAAATAAAGTGTTACTGCTGACACTTGAGTTTGAACATAGATCGCCAGTGAGCAAACACAGGCAATCCCATTATTGAATTAAGTAGACCATGTGACCATATAGGAAACGCATATATGGGAGGTAGCATGTGTCTAATTGATCTGCATTTCTATTCTATCCTCTATTACTAAATGGATTGCTATTCTCTTCTCTACACTATTCTCTATTCAGATCAATACGGATTACTATTCAAGCAAGTACTATTAGTGCGAGTGCTATTTGAAGGCGCCTGACACCAGCATTGTTCAACGGCATACTATAGTTGTATCTGTGATTACAAAGTCTTTACTACAATGAGCATTACGAAAGTGACAACAAGTATTCGCTGACATTACAAAAATGTCAAACGAGTGTTCATTGACATCACAAAATTATCATAACAGTGCACAGAAAGGACTGAAAAATTATTAGGAAAGTTATCAGGTTTCAATTTCCAGGTCATTTTCTTTTTTATAGGCCTTGTTTCTTTAAGATGTAGGTGATCATGGCTCTCTACAGCTTCTATTCTTTAAACATGTGAATTGCCATGACTTCTTCGGAAAGATAGTAGCTTCCCACTGACTTCTCTATAGTTTTGAATTCAGAACAGTCTTTCTTCTAGACTGGCCACCATCCAAGGCTGGCAAACTATCTATTTAGTCCATAGATTTTGTGCTATTTCTGCTTGTAGCAGATTGTTAAATCATGTGAATAATTTTTTTTTTTTTAAATTTGCATGTTTATCAGACCAAAATATCCTTGCCAGTGTCCAGGCTGCTTGGGGATGGGTGTTTTTCTAAATATAGATGGCCAAGCAAGGTTAAAAGGCTTCTCTCTGCTCATTAGGTGAAGACGTGATTATATACAAGCACAACTATGAATAGCTTCAAAACATCTTCATCTACCCAATTTTGCTCAAAAGACAATTTTCATTATCAGAACAGCATACAGAAAGACTGAAATATGAAGGGAGTTATCAGTTTGCAAGTTCTAGCTCATTTTTTAAAATGCCTTCTTCCTTATACAGGTGATCAAGGCTCTCCACAGCGTCTCTTCTTTAACATATGTGAATTACAATGACTCCTTGAGAAAGAGGTTTCCCATTGCCATCTCTACAGTTTTGAATTCAGAATAATCCTTCTTCTAAACTGGCTGCCACTCAAGAAGAACACCTATTTAGTCCATAGCTGGGGGTGGAGAAAAAAATGAATTTAGGCTTTTCCCAAGCGCATTTGTGTGAAAGTGAATGCAACAGACTTGGTAGGGATTTGAATTTTGCTTACCAAATCCTTCTTCCATGCCAATAAAGGTTTTGCTACTCATACATATAATTACAAATTTATTAAATAAAAGAATATTATTGCATATCAACTCTGTAAACTTGCCTTACCCTTTTTTCTTTTTTTTTATTCCTCCTTCCATGCCAATAACGGTTATGCTACTCATATAGATAATGAAAAATTTATTTATTATAAATAAATAAAAGAATTTTATTGCATACTAATCCTGTAGCCTCTCCTTCACCACACCCACACTAAGTGTTGCTCCTGTGGTTTCTGTAACAATTAAGTTTGAATGGAGTAAGAGGGTAGTTCTATCCCCACAGCCAACTGGTTTTGAATTCTCTTTGTGTATTCTCCACACTTTGGTATTCAGCTTACCAAAAAAAAGCTATCAAGTCCAGTCTATTCTGCTATTAACTTTTAGCTTTTTAAGATTCATACCTTTCCAAGGTTGTGTAAAAGTGAATGCAACGGGCCTGTCTGAAATATGAACTCAGCCCACCAATCCTACTTTTTGCATTAATAACTACTATACTATTTACATACCCGAAAAGAATGTTGAGTGCCAGGAATTAATCATTTATAATCATGGTGGAATGTAAAGGAATTTGTACTAGTTCAACTTGCCCAGGTATAAAGTTGCTTGCTACAAATTAGCAGGACTAAATTTACAGTAATCAGAAAAAAAAAAAAAAAAAAAAAAAAAGAAGAAGAAAAGTTAAGTTAATCCTTACTTTGGAGTTTCAACTTTTTCCAGTAAGTCAGCATACTGTAAGGCACAATTCTGGGAAAAGAAATTAAAAAGTTAAAAAAAATTATGATAATAACCTTATTACAATTGTGCTTGTCACTCCTTTTGTTAGTTCACAAGACTTACACCCTGTCAATACCTCATAAATAATGGACTATTCCATTTTGATCATATGGGGGGGAAAAACACTACATGGTTTCATTGAGAAAATGAAAGAAATAAAGGAAGAAGGGAAGATAGACGTTTTTAATGTCTTCTGCAAATACTTCATAAATTAATGGATTATTCCATTTTAATTGTATGGAAAAACAAGACACATATCAGAGATATTACTTGGTTTCAGTTAGAAAAAGAAAGAAAGAAAGATAGAAGTGCTTAACGGCCGTTTCAGTGAAATGGAAAAAGTTGTTAATTTCAAATCTTTTCATTTGTACCCACTTCTTAAAATAACAACCAGCATTCATATTTATGATTGTTATTGCAATATTTTGTTAAAGATGTTAAGCTCAAATATCCATTGATGTCATAGAATTTCTATTGTTGTAGAACTTGCCATGAGCTTCTTCAATCATTAACTGAAGAATTAAGATTCATCAGAAATTTAAAATAGGAAAACCATGAAATTTTCACAAGTTAAAACTAGTAAAGATATAATAATATACATGTTTCATTGAATAATTATATCTATTTATTTCCAGTTCCCTAAACAGTTTCTTGATGTTAAGATGAAATTCAGCAAGGAAATTACAATAAGTTTGTAGAGGATGATCTCAGAGGAGATTGAAAGGGTAGGAAAAAACTATGGCATCTTCCTTGATGAATTTCATCTTAACATCAAGAAACTGATTACAGAACTTGAAAGGATCATTATAAAAATAGACATAATGTTTATATTATTCAATGAAACAGGTTTGAATGAAGATATGCTGCCTATATATATATATATATATATATATATATATAGATATATGTGTATTATTAAATAATATTATAATTATAATAACAATAAATATATAACTTATATTGTACTTATATATTTTTATCAAATTTATAAAGGTACAAAAATTGACAGAACGATGATTTTGGCATGACAAGTTGTTTTAGAAAAATTTATTTTAACTCTAGACAGAAGTTTATACATAAAATGGCATTTCTAACATAGGATCTTCAGAGTTGTAAGAATATATGGTAAAAATATAAAAATGTTCTTAAACTGCTTAAGTGGTCTGTTGATGTCATGAAAATAAACAATTTTAAGGATGTTAAAAAAATTGTGCAATTTTCAAACAAGAATGAATATGTCTACTCCATAGAAATAATCTATTATGTCATAAATAGCAAGAATACAGGTCAGTCTTTATAAAAATAAAATTATATAAAGACAAAACTAATAAATTTATATTTTTGTAATCTACAGTAAGTATTAACTATTGTCACCAAGTTTCAAATCTGTACATGCAATATCCACAGAGCTATGAATATCAGAATTACGTTGAAAGCCTTATTTACCAAAAATGCAGTGAATGCTCTAGATGCTCTGGTTTTAAAGATATTAAGAGATACAGATTTAATATTTGGAATTTATCAATAAATTTGATCAATGAACACCTGTGAATTTCCCCAGATTTTTCTGAGTGGGTCACCTGTAGCTGATGGTAGATTTGAGATGGAATGACTCATATACATGTTTTCAAGCCTTAAAAAGAAAAAAAAAAAAATTTCAAACCTCAGTGTCACCTTAGATTGCGGGCATAATATACAAACTTTTACCACCGAGTTGTAAATAATTGAGACACCACTCCCAAAAATTACTGTACATAACTTAACAGTCTCTCCAGCAGGATGCCACAAATATATCCACTAAAACTTGTGTTTGGTGAACATATTTGGCATATTAACACAGAAATTAAAATAAAATAATAAAATAGTAACACATCTATTCTATTAATGCTATACAACACATCGTTCGTTGTCAGATGAGTGATACTGTGTCTTACAATAATATGATACTATCAAAAATTTACTTGGTATGATGTATAATCTACAGTATAAATATTTTATAGGCGTTGACTTTAATCTGTCTATCAGTAGACCTGATGAATTTTAAATGTTCAATAAAATATCAATGCAATATACGGTACCTACCAGTGTGTGTTGTAGGTTGTTTGCTATACAACTTGTATAGAAGATATTATGGCTTGTGTCTAGCACTTATTTATGCTATTTACATTGTCTGAGTTGTTGTCTCTATTGTTATTGCCACATTCACAACATTTCGGCCATTGTACCTTCTGGTCTTCTTCAGGCAATATTTGCTGGAATTTTGAACTGAACTCATTTATTTAGTCCATGGAGGTAGATTTAGTTAATTCCACATGCCATGTCTTTGGATATCTCAGTTTTAGTTAATTCCACTTGATGACTCAATTCTCCAAGTTTTAGTTCTTTTTTTTCTGTTGAAGCCAGGGATTGCACTCACAACTCTCTGGGTCAAGTCATTTTTTTCAGGATCAATCAACACACGCCTTTATACACCGGGCCATAAAACTGAGATGTCCACAATCTATGACACATGGAATTAGAACAATCTAAATAATAACTAATAATGGGTTCAGCTTGAAATTTTAACAAATACCATCTGAAGAAGGCTGGAGAGAACAATGATTGAAACCTCATGAATGTAGCAATAAAGATGAAGACAACAATCTGAACAATGTAAATAGTGTAAATAGTTACAATAACTTATCACAGAAATATAGATAAATAACTAGCACTTGTGTCCTAAACTAACTCATGCTTAGTACTATTTCCAAACCAGCATAGACATAATATAAACTGCTTTAGGATGTTGGGTCATTTACCTTAGTCTGTATCACATAATATCTAATCAAAACCAAAATCACAGTGCTCATGAGAAACTGACACCATTGTCTTTATAGTCATTTATTTCCAATGAATGGCAATTTCTTATTTTTCCCAAAATAGGCCAGCATAACCAAACTACAATGCTATAAAAATTCAGCTGTGAAAGTGTAATTTAAGAGGAAAATATGAGACTATTTTTCACTTTTGGCTCTGGACTATATGCTAAGTAAATATCAGAAATTAAATATTTCTATGATTATTTTTTTAGCAACAGGGTTGCTGCATGGGGCAACCATTTTGCTCAGTTGCTCATTAATTTGGATGGGGTAGGGATGTAGAAGACTGTCAATAGGTCAGTTTAAAATTTAGTGAACTGAACTTTATTTTTTTTTTTTTACAATAATGTTTTGTGACATATTATTAGATTGTATCAGGGGTGTCATTGAGCTTAGCCTCTACTGCAGAGTATCTGATTGAAATCAAAATGTCAGTACCCATGAGTAATCAGCCATCAATGTCTTTGTAGCTGTTCATTTCCAGTAAATGGCAATTTTCTATTTCCCTCCCAAAATAGGTCAATACAGCCTGACAACAACACTATAACAGTATGAAACAGTCTGTCGCTTCTGAGTGTTGACTTTAATGTTCCCTTACATTATATATATATATAATTTTGACGTCTGATAAAATGGCAATTTCCCATTTTACACAAAACGGACCAGCACAGCCAGACAACAATGTTACAAGACTGAAGTAGTGAATGTGTAAAAAACAAAAAACAAAACAATATTAGAAAAAAATAATTTCAACTCAAAGTGTGTCATGGAATAGAAATCTCAGCCAATCAGGAAGTGAGGAAATGTTAAGTAATATCTTACCTTTTGTGAGAACCAATCAGGTGGTCTGCAACCACCTTCAGCAAATGGCTTGATAGCTCGACTGACAGACACCCTACATGAGAAAGAAAATAAACAAAGAATTAAGATACAATATGTGTACAACAATAACTAGGTACAATTATAACAAGATGTTCCTCCTTATCACCACCATTACCAGGTGTGGTTGTAGATTCACTGCTCGACTGTGCACTTGATAAGTTCCCTCTACGTATCTGGGTTAAAAGCCAACGAGGTATTCATTCATGCATAGCATATCTTGGACAAGTAGACCTGGCAGACATCCCTCTCATTCAACTTCACCATAGTTATGAACATCTGGCTGTTGATTCTATCAGCCGTGGCTGTTAACTTCAGTCCAGGTAACCCTCTGCTAAGCAATGCCATGTCATCACCACACTGTCTGCTGCCATAGCTATAGGAACCTGTCTATCCCATTGTGCTAGATGGCAGCTGACCCTACAAAAAAAGGGTTCATCTGCCATTTGACAATCCTGAACTTGGTGTCTCTGAAGAGCACCAAGTGCTAAGTCCATTTTGGCATAATCTAAGGCAAGAAAAAGCATAGGAAATCGAATCAGAGCAGCTTCTCTCAAGCCACCAAAATATCAACCTAAACAGGACTGTTACCACACAGTTGGACATTGACAAATTTGAATTCATATCACAGGTACTGATTTCAACATTAAGAGTCACAACATGCACAGAATCTTCTATCCAGGATGAGTATATATCTTTACTTGAAATTGAGATCAATCCAAGTCAATGAGTGCAGTGCACGACCTTCCATCAATTTGAACTTTGATTACTGGTAGTGCCAGATTTACATCCACTGCAAGGAAGAGACGTCTTTTCCTTCAACACATTTTCCCAGGCAGTTATGTGATATATGGCCTATAGACTGGCATTGTTCTGTGCAGACCTTGTTATCACCTTTTGTTCTCTTCTGATAGCTCAGACAGTCTTTCACCATATAGTTTGAGCTGTTGCACTTATAGCACATATTATTGTGTGGTCTCACACGATGGACTTCATTTGTTTCACTTACTGTCTGTGCTGCTATTATCATACCTGTTTACATCATTTCATCATTCACGATTGCCCATGCTATCTATCTTAGTCTGTCCATATCTATCTATCTATCTTAGTCTGTCCATATCTATCTATCTATCTTAGTCTGTCCATATCTATCTATCTATCTTAGTCTGTCCATATCTATCTATCTATCTTAGTCTGTCCATATCTATCTATCTATCTTAGTCTGTCCATATCTATCTATCTATTTATTTATCTATCTTAGTCTGTCGATATCTATCTATTTATCTATCTTAGTCTGTCCATATCTATTTATCTATCTTAGTCTGTCCATATCTATTTATCTATCTTAGTCTGTCCATATCTATCTATCTTAGTCTGTCCATATCTATCTATCTTAGTCTGTCCATATCTATCTATCTTAGTCTGTCCATATCTATCTATCTATCTTAGTCTGTCCATATCTATCTATCTTAGTCTGTCCATATCTATCTATCTATCTTAGTCTGTCCATATCTATCTATCTATCTTAGTCTGTCCATATCTATCTATCTATCTTAGTCTGTCCATATCTATCTATCTTAGTCTGTCCATATCTATCTATCTTAGTCTGTCCATATCTATCTATCTATCTTAGTCTGTCCATATCTATCTATCTATCTTAGTCTGTCCATATCTATCTATCTATCTTAGTCTGTCCATATCTATCTATCTATCTTAGTTTGTCCATATCTATCTATCTATCTATCTTAGTCTGTCCATATCTATCTATCTTAGTCTGTCCATATCTATCTATCTATCTATCTTAGTCTGTCCATATCTATCTATCTATCTATCTTAGTCTGTCCATATCTATCTATCTATCTATCTCTCTTAGTCTGTCCATATCTATCTATCTATCTTAGTCTGTCCATATCTATCTATATATCCTAGTCTGTCCATATCGTCAGGGTGTCCATTCTGGTGCCCTAAGGAGCTGCTTCATTCGGTCTGTTTGGCATGCCATGAATGTGCATGCCAAACAGCCGTGTCACAGTTGCCTTGCCATAAATTGTTTGTATGCCATGAACGAATCTGTTGTAAATATTGCATACAAGGCAGTTTTAATTCTTTTTGCATCTCCCTTGTTGCTTAATTGCTGATAGATAGGCAGCAAATGTCCTTCCTGATAGCCTCAAAAGGAAACATACTCAGCCCACTTCACACAGCACACCCTGTAAACAAGCTTTGCTTTCTCCACCCACTCTACGAACATGCCAGTTGTTGATTCATCAAATTCAGGTTTCAGCTTCAGATCAAACTTGCTGAAATAGCTTGTGTAGAAAATGAATAATTACAGCAGGCTCTTTAACACACTGACAATTGCCGACACACCAAATCCTTGTTTCATCTCAGGGCACTCAATTGATGTTGCCAAATATTTCTCTGCTATTGTGACTTGTCATTGGTTGGTTGATGTTTTTTTATGGTTTATCAACCCTTTTCAGATAATTTAAAGCCAGAAAATATTATTAGATTTTAAGAATTTTTTTTTGGGGGGGGGGATAATATTTTAGGGATACAAGCCTTATTAATTAACCCATAGCTAGAGTGGAGATGAGGTAGATTCTTACCTTTCCCAGGGTTATTTAAGCATAAGTGAATATAATGAGCCCAACAGGAATTAGAACTTGGCTCTACGATTAACAATTCAGAGCCATTATCTATTTTATCACTTGTACATCCAAGCGTACAGCACCTGGTATTTCCATGCAGTCACCGATCTAGGTACTAACCAGGCTTGACATTGCTTAACCAGTGATCATAGGGGAACCAGTTTTTCAATGTGATGTGGCCATAAGACACTCATTGTGAAAATGTCTCAATCCATCGTGCAACAAAAACAATGAACCTCTTTCTTTCAAGCTCAGTAATACCATATTCTTAGCTTTTGAAATAATAGAATAGGTGAAAAGGTAGGGATCAAGAACAAAAACATACCCACCCCCTCACCAAATGGGGCCCAACTATTTACTGTATGAAGGTCTAAAAAAAAAAAAAAACAAACAAAACAAAATACAACTCTAAACTTAAAATTATATCTCCTTTGAAAATATCCATATGATTTTTGAGTATTGATGAAATTGTTCATCATGAATAAATTGTGATGCATTTTCCCTATTTTGATTTGCCCCATGTATACTCTGCCATGATATGACATTATTGCAAATAATGCAAGAAGTCACACAAACAGTGAGACTTTGACCACAAACCGTGACTTTAAGAGCCAATATTTATGGGGTGGATTTGAGAATGTTGAATGCTAAAGGGTTAAAGTAAATATCAGCTCTCAATGTTTAACCCACCCATGTTTACTCTGCCATAATATATGATGACATCATTGCAAATAATGCAAGAAATCTTACAGACAGTGAGACTTTGATCACAGTGTGACTTTGAGAGCCAATATTTATGGGACAGGTTTGAGTGTGTTGAATGCTAAAGGATTTGTGGTTAGTTATGCCAGAGTAGACTTGGGGTTTATCTACTGGAAACTTTGGAATTAAAACAAACTGGGTATAAGGTATATATTTTTATTTATTTGGTTTAGATTGGAATGAATCCTTTGATATTCAAGTTAACAAAATGTTCATTATAAGGCAGATCTTAGCAACAGTACAGAGAAAATTGGTTTCGGTTCAGTAGTGGGTAGTTTTGCCAATTGTGAAGTCAGAACTTGATAGTAGTAGTCATCTTAGAAATATCTCAGCATCAATCTGTTTTTCTCAACCCGAAAAAGGAGAGAAAATATCATTAGCAGATAACCTCTTAATTACTTCAAGTGTCACACGTGGCTGATAACTCTGGCAGTCACATCTATTTTTGTGGTTTCTCTTACTATCTCTTCTCCTTGTCCAGCTTAGTGCTGTGAGATTATATCCTTTTGATCAGGCTCCCAGACTCTGGCATGAACCTTGATTTTGGCTGACATCAAAAATCTCTTTGTGGTAATTTTTTTTGAATGGCCCAAATTAATTTATTATCTGGCATGAAGACATAACTGCAAATAATGCAAGAAGTCATGCAAACAGTGACTTTGAGAGCCAATTTTTGGTGAATTTGAGCATGTTGAATCTTAAAGGGTCAATACAATTTGTTTATATATATATATATATATATATATATATACACACACACACACACACACAGACACACACACACAAAGTGCAATGGGTAAATTGTAGCCATTTTATATTTTGAATTTTGTGCATTGTTTTTGTCAACTGGACAGTATAGCAGGGTCAGTTGGGCACCATCTGTGAGAAAAAGAGCATCATGATATAATTCACTCCACCAGAAATTTGGAAAGGGCATGTTAGAAGCTTCAATATGAACATTTCAAAGTGTTTGAGTGTCAATCTGAGGACTGTTCAGAGGATTTGGAAAGAGTTGGATGAGTCTAATGGTGATTACGAAGATATTTTTGTGTAATTTTGGTAAATATATCTATTAAAATGAGATATCAGTGTTATTTTCATTTATGCATAATTTAGATGACAAGTTATCCATCGCACCCTATCTGTGTGTGTGTGCGTATATATATATATATATATATATATATATATATATATATATATATTGTGTGTATTTAGGCAGCATTTTTCATTCATACATGTTTCATTAAATAATATAGACAAGTGTTGTCTATTTTATGTAAATTCTTTTCATAATGTCTGATAAGCTTAATAACATTATCATTAAATGATGAAAGAAAATCACAATATTGATACATATTTTTTAATCCAATCTAAGCTTTCGGCTTACATAAGCCATTATCAAAGATGACAATTACTGTACAATAAATTAAGCAATATACGGACAAGAATGTGATGATAGCATGTTTCTGTTTACATGGATGATTTCCAAGCAACGATAAACACATGCATATAAGACGCTGGAAGCGAAAATTGCACCGCAGCTCATGATATCACACATAACCACGCGTGAGTGAATTCAAGAAGTATTAAGTAGGGGAAGCGGTTGGTATAAACCAATGGCTTCTGTTACCAATTATAGACATTTAAGGATATTTGTGGAGATTAGTTTATTTTGTTTAGGTTAGGTTTCAACTGTTTTATGTATATAGCTTCAAGAATTTTCCACATAAAATATAAATCATGTACTTGTTGAGCAATGAAAGAAAATTATTACCAGTTTTGATCTCCATTTTTCACCACAGAACAAGCCAAGGAAAGTTTCTCCCGAGATGACCAGACATCGAGATGGACTGGTTTCAATTTATGTTCTGAAAATAAAAAATAAAATATATCCTTAAAATCTGACACCATGAGAGAAATCCTAAGCTCAACAAACTATTTTAAACCAAAGCAAAACAATGACCTCTTTGATGACATATAATAGGGAGGGCCAAACTGCAGTTAACCGGCCATATGCAACTCTTTTTCATCAAATATTTAATGAAACATGTATATATATATATATATATATATATATATATGAAAGTTTAATTTATGAATTATCTGCAAGAAAAGATTAACATTAATAATAGCAATTGATTAACTGATTTGTTTCCTAAGTCTTATAATCCTATTTAAGGTTATTTAAAGCCAGAAAATATTTTTAAGTTGTAAGAATTTATTTTTTGGAGATAATAATGATTTAATGATATAAGTTTTAGCAATTAACCCATAGCTGGGAGGAGGAGGAGGAGGAGGTGGATTCATACCTTTCCCCAAGGGCATTTTCATGTAAATGAATATAACAAACTCAACTGGAATTAGAACTCATCTCCCTGATTAACAATTCTGAGCCATTATCCATTACACCACCTGGTATTGCCAAGTGGTCACCCATCTAGGTACTAACCAGGTTCAATGTTGCTTAACTTCAGTGATCATATGAGAACCAATGTTTGAACATGATATGTCCTTAAGCCTTATAGCAATTTATAAAACAGATTATAACAATGTCTCATTATAAAAGTATCGATAAATAGATTTATTCTTACTGTTGAGAGTTTAGTAACCTCTGCATGCAGTTTGATAACCTTCACCTTTACACACATGCATGCGCGCATGAGGCAGTGACACTTTACAGTCATTCTGTGACATTTTGTTTTTTAATCATTTCATCACCAGCATAGCAATAAATCACTAACATGCAAGAGGTTACTAATTGTTAGTGAATATGAAAAAATATATTATTAAGAAGAAAGGACAATAAAAGAACAAGAATTAATAAAGACAGAAGATAGCAATTGACATTGATCTTCAAAAATTTAAATGCAAAGTTGACTGGGAAGCAAGAAGCCCAAAGAGAGTTAGATAGTGAGAAGAGCAAAAAAAGAAACTCTTAGCATAGAACTTACGATATTGAGTCCCCCCCACTAGGGCAACATGTGACACAAGGTCGGTTGTTTATTGTGGGTTTTTCCGAGCCCATGGGCTCGGCCCAAAAATATGCCCGTTTGAACCCGTATAAACGGGTTCAGGGCCGGTTTTACCTCCCCGAAGGAGACACCGGCCTTTGGCGCAGCCTCCTTCAGGTTCCTCTCCGTCCAGAGACAGAGAGTTGAACCGATCAGTCGCTCAGAAAGTGAACTACTGACGCAATATATAGCATAGAACTTACAGTTACATCTAGTCATTTCAACTGTAAAATGTTGAGACTTTGCCGCTAGTCTAGTACTCTCAGACGATTAAAAGAAAGCAGTTTTCTTTTGGAGATGTTAAAATTAATAAGCCACTCCTTGCTCCATTTAACAACAGATTGTAGGTCGTTTTTTTAGATCAGTTGCCAATTTGACCTTATTGAACCAATCAGACTTACTGTTAAAACAGGAGTAAGTAGTTGTGTCATCAGCAGAAATATTGAGCTGAGAATTGATGACATTAAGGTCATTTATGAAAATTAGGAACAATGTAGGTCCAAAGATAGAGCCCTGAGGAACGCCTGCATTAATGTAAACAGATTTAGAAAAGTAGTCATTCAAGACAACTTTCATTTCACGATTTGATAAGAAAGGCTGAATCAGTTCAAAAATTTGTCCAGAAATACCATAACCTTTCAACTTGTAAAGAAGTCCAGTATGTCAAATCCTGTCAAATGAATAAGATATATTATAGACACTATTGTCTTAAGAAAAACGTTTTTTTTTTTTTTTGATGAATACTAAATTTTTACAAGAATTTTTCTCATATTTTTAATTTATTTTAATTAGAATAATTTATTAGGTTTTAAATCTTTTAAAATTGTATTTATTTGTATCAGTTAAGTGATATTAAGTAAAAACTATATTTACTAATCCTAACTCAGCAAACCCTAGAATTTTAAAAAGAAATGAAACTTCAAATCAGCTAAGCTGAGAATTGTAAATATGTCTAAAAATGGTTCAAATCAGCCAATTTTAGTGATTAAAAAAAAAAAAAAAAAGACAGAAAGAAAAACTCACTCCAATCAATAGAAATTTATTTTGAAATAGAGCAAAGTATTTTACTTATTGGAAATGTATTAAGTCAAAATTTAAATTAAAATAAAAGATTCAAGAAAGATTTTTCATTTTAGGTATTTTCCTTAAGACAATAGATTTTATATCTTATTCATAAAGCAATTTAAAGTTAATTAAAAAATGTAGTTTTATTGCATTTTTTATTTTATGATTCAGAAGATTTTCAGTAATTGAGTCCTGTTTTACCAAAAAAAAAAAAAAAAATTCTCCAAGGACTTCTGTTTAAAACTAATATAAACATTAAGCTGTACAAAAACGAATTTTTTGAAATTTCATAAATTAAATAAGTTGAGGGTACATGTTAAGAGAAAAAAATTTACCAAGATTGTCTAAAAACAAAACTTTTCTAAAATAATTAATTTGGGAGTAAGTCCTGAAAGTTTCATTAAAATCCGACAATTATTTGGTTTTTGAAAGAAGTTCCAAATGAATGTGTTTTTCACCGCAAAAAATAAAATTTCCTATATAGTCACATGTTATCATGAGAAAAAAATAATTTAATCATAATTCTGAATGTTCTAAAAAATATAATTTAATAATAAAAAAAATCCTTTTGATCTTCCCTCTTAATAATAACAAAGATTTTGACGATAAAACTTTGTTTTATTAAGCTTGCGGCATTTTTTCATCATGTATACTCATTTTTTAGCGAATCTTTCTTTTGAGGCACCTACATATATGCATCATTAGAAATTAATATTAGAAAAAAGGGTCGTCACTCCATAATCACAAAATTGTAGTGACAAGTTCTCTCCCTTTATTTGTAAACGGTGTCCAGTGAATACGAAATACAGATTTAACTTTTCCAACCAATCAAACGAATGTCATCATAATTCAACAGGAAAGTATTTACACACAAATGACCAATTGATGTTCATCTCTTGCTGAAAGAACAAGTCAAAAAAAGTGAAAACTGTTCTGTAAACTTAGTTTAAAAGCATCAATTCTTGTAAAATTAACCAAAATTTATATGGATAAAGGAGAACAAAGGAAAAAGAATGTCAACCTCTCTCCCCACAAACCCTTTCTTTAGGCAGAGAGAAAAAGAAGCATCAAAAGAATGGAGGAGGCAGAAAAGAAAAGACTCCTCCCCGCCCCTTCTAATCTCTGATTATATCCTCAAATTCACTCTAAGGAAGCTTTTTGTGTCATTCTCTACTCCCTAATGAAATTAACATTCTCTTTGTATTTGATCATTTAGCACAAGGAAGATATGTCAGGGTCACCATTTCATCAAAAATGTAGAGAGCAGGTAGTGTTTGAAAAATAAGGAGCTCAATTAACATGAAATGTGAAAGACTTGGAAACCTTTTTCAGAAGCAGCAAAATTCACTTTGGCACTCAGAATAGATTAGAAAGAAATATAGTTTGTGAAGGGAGGGAAAACTCACCCTTTTTTATACATTAAAAAAACAAACTTGGCCTGTCCATTTAGAACATAGGCAATAATGTCTCAACACAAATTCCATTTCTTTATTATCTGTGAATTTCCATTATATCTTGGAAAAGATAGAATACTTTCTTGTTGCTTCCTTTACAGTATTTTAATTCACAATAATCCATTTCAGAAACTGACTGTCCATCAAGGCTAGATAATCCATATAAAAATTGTTATAATAAAAAATGTAGATAAAAAAATAAATATTATAACTGTCTAGGTTTGTTTATTACACTTGCTTTTTAAGTATTTTCAAAAAAATTAAAAGAAAGCCAGTTAGTAAAAAATTAAATAATAAATTTGTTGTAAAACATTTCAAACTTTCCAAAAATAGAATGGCATGAAAAAGTGCTGAAAATGTTTGTCAAATGTGGATGATTTGTGAATTAATTTTCAAATTTCAAAAAGATACACACTTTTTAATTTTTTGACCAATCAAGAGGATGAGTGACTTTTTTATGAGCCATATTTCTATTTTTTTTTTTTTTAATTGGTTATCTTGCCATAAATTACTGTCTATATTTCTAAGAGTAGGTATTGTAATTATTTACATTGTTGGAACTGTTGTCTTAATCTTTATTGACATATTTACATTTCGGCCACTCTACACACCGGCCTTCTTCAGGTGATATATGGACACATGACCCAGTGGATAAAAGTGTTGGTTGAGTAATCCAAAAAGTGACTTGACCCAAAGAGTTGTGAGTTCAATACCTGGCTACAACAGAGGGAATAAAAACTTGAGAGTTGAGTTACTAAAGGGAATTAACTGAAACTGAGATATCCAAAAAAGGTGTGGCATTTAGAATTAGAACAATCTACCCTGAATAAAAGGTTCAGTTCAAAATTCCAATGTATATCACCTGAAAAAGGCCAGAGTGTACAACAGCTGAAACATGAATATGGTAGTAAAGATGAGAACAACAGTCTGAACGATATAAATAGTGTAAATTGCACACAAAAGGAAACTTCTGGATCACCCCCCCCATCAAGCTATGCCACTGTCTAGCCAAATTATTTCTGTATGCAAAACCCTTTAATATCTTCCACAAATTCCTCCTACTGATACAATGAGGTTATATTTATATATACTTTATTATTATTATTATTTAAGTACATGGTTGTAGAACCTTCCTCCATTCATTTTCTAAGGCTGATATATAGATTTTCACTTCAGTCTCTTCATTTTGCTAATTTACTTTAGCTGAAGCTTGACATACAATATTACTCACAAAACAGTTTGTTTTTTTTTCATTGGGTAAACATCCTTATTTTAAAATTACGCACTAGTTTGTCAATATCATGTGTAGATGGTGTAATCGTTAACAGCTCAGAATAAGAAATTCATGAGCCATGGTTAAATTTCAGTTGAGATCGTTTGCTTTCATGAAAATATCCTTGAGAAAGACCTGAATTCAACTGTTCTCCTCCCAGTTATTTAAAAAAATTTTTTTTTTAATTTTACACCATGCAAGGCAATAAAGCCACTAAGATGGGGGAGGGGGAGAATATGATGAAAAGAAAAACATTATTCAGGAGAGTGAACACTAAAAAAAAAACAGGAATTATGAAAAAAAATAATGATTGACATTGCATTTAAATTTTTGTAGATCAAAATTGACTGAAAGCAAGAAGCCAGAAGAAAGTTCTACAAGTGAGAAGTGCAAGAGAAAAAACTTAACATTGTAAGTCCTATCTTAATAGGTTCTTCTATTACTTCAGTTAGACCTAGCAATTTTAACTATAAAATGATGAAACCTAGCTGCCACTCTAGTAGTTATGGGTTAAATAGTAGGGCAAATTGGGCTCTTTAGCCTTGGTTATCAACCAGTCTAGAAGAGGGACAACTCTGAATTCAAAACATGTTGGGCATGTTGCTAGCAACTCTGACTCGTAAAAACCTACTTCTTACAGTATCATGTGTGCAACAAAAGAAATAAGTTAAAAAAAGTAAGAGGAACAAGAAGACCAA